AAACAAACAATCAAACCATCTGGTTTTTTATATTATAAAAGTAAACAGATTTTCTTTAAAATATAAGATATTAAATGATCTTGTTCTTTAACATGCACCATAGAGTTGAACTTGTGAGATGATAGGGTTTAGGATGATAAAAACTAACTTTATGAAGAGTTAGACGTTTTGACCTTTGAAAAGAGCATCATCTTCTAGAGTCATGTCTTCTAATTTTCAAAAATAAAAATTACTGATTAACATACTTACAATTAACAAAGGACTTAAATTGCGTTATTATTGAAATGCATGAATCAAATAAATTACCTGACTTTAAAAGTTATATTAACTATACTAATTTAAAAATAACATAAGGTTTGTTCTTTACTATAGAAGTAGGGGGGGCGGGTCCATAATCGTCTTTTTTTAGATTTTTTACAGTTTAACCAATTTTTCTTAATTAGTTTTTTATGCTGATTCTGAAAATCATAATCATTTTTTTTCATTTTAATTATTTAGCCTTCTACTTCGATTTTAATAAAAGTGAATTTATTGACAAAAAAAGGCATTGTTAAAATTAGATGAAATTATTATTATCATTAAATATAAGAAAAGTAGAAAACTAGAAATCTTTTTCTGTTTAATTTATCAATAATATACCTTATCATTTATAAGTAACAAAAAAATTAAGTGTTATATATGAAAATAATTCATACAGTTTGTTATTTACTATTGAAAATGGAAAATAACTATAAAAGTCATTTGTGAAAAAGATTGCTGTGTGAACTTTCCTTATAGAACATCGAGGTTATAAGCGTGTTCTTTGGTAGACATAAAATAGAGGTTTGTATTTTTATATCAAAGATCATGTATTTAAACAGAATAGACCTCGGCGACAATGACCTTAATTGTATTCTTAAAATAAAGAACCTCATTTTTTGAACTTTTTTTTCATTTTTACATATCTTTATCTACTTCAAAAATGTCTAGTTCACAGCTAAATGGGCTGCCTTGTAACTTTAATCAAGCTAAAACAGAACTCATCTTGCACACCTGATGTAAAGTTTGCTGCTCTTCCATTGTTATCCATTTGTTTTTGTAGCTGGTTTCAACGATATTCCATAGTTTCAACTTTTTGAACAAATAACTGGACAATAATATAAATATGGTTTAAATAATTAAGTATACATCTACTGTTGAAATTAAATGGGTTTTTTCCAAAGCTTTCCAACTGCAACAACTTAATTAGAAAGTTAATACTAATCATATTCCATCATCAACCAAACACATAATACTTTTCTTTTTTTTGAAGATGAGGCTAACTTTTACCAAAATGCTCTAGCAAGAATGATACAATCATTCAACCTCTTTGAGGTATACTTATTTACTGCTTCTAGAATTTTTTTTTAACTAGCTAATCACTGCGTTTTAGAGTAAAGCAGAAAATTTCAAAATTTGATTTCCCAGTTTGTTTTTTATAAAGCCTTTTAGGTAGCGGTGTTGCTTTATACTAACTGTTTGTCTTTAGAATTGTTAAAACTTTAGAATTTAACTGAACTTCTACTGACTGGCACTTTAAAAGAAGGTTTATTCTTGACTTCCTTAAAGAAAAGTGAAAAAAAAAATGAAATCTTGAATAGCGTTCTTGATAGCTTGAATAACGAATAAAAATAAAAAAAAATAAAAATAAATTAAGATATTTTGAAGCAATCTGTCTTTTTGATTACTTAAAACATTTTGTTTAGAAAGAGGCCTCAGATAAAACTTTTTTTTTTGAAGCAATCTGTCGTTTTACTTATATAAATTGTTTTTTTAGAAAAAGACTTCAGATTAAACTTTTTTTCTTACTAAAACGCAACGATTAAAAATCAAATTTATCCAATCAAAATTTGAATAGCTTAAATTTGAAAGAAAAGTTGCGTAACTTTGTACGTAATGAAACTTTTGCAAAGACCTTTATTTTTTATATCTTTTAAATTTTTAAAATACAAGTAGAAGGTCAACCATAAAAAATTAGCAAAAACTGAATTGTTTTTAAACTTTTCTCAAAAAATTAATTAAGAATAACTGTTTAAACAAAAAATATAAAATTTTGGACCCCCTTCCCCCAACCTCCCTAAAGAAGTCATCAAATTAAAAAGTTTTTGATCTTGTTACTAATTACTGATGAAGCAAAATTTTCAATCTCAGTACTGATTAAGCAGGTATTAACAGATTATAAAGATTTAAGAATACCTCATGGCATGGTCAAAAAAGAAAGAGCTAAATCTTATTTATAATAAAACTCTTTGTAAACCTGCACAAATGAGTAACGGCATTTACTCATGGCAAAAAGTCCCATTATTTTGTAAAAAAATAACAATAAATATTCCCAATATTCTAAAAACGCGTTAAAATACTTCAAGCTAACACCCTGACTTATTTAATAATCAAGTTCAATATTCAACATTTGGTGTTTTAATAAAATTAAACTGGTATTTAAATTGGTAAAATATTGATATTGTAACTATAAATTTGCAGTATTATACTATCTTTTTGGTTCCTGTATGATATTTAATAAAGTATTTTTTTATAAATTTTTAAAAATGTCTAAATTTATGTTACTATAATTCATTTACATGAAAAAAAATATATATATATTTTTAGGTTTGTGGAAAAATAAAAAATAATGACAAATAAAAAATACCTAACAAAGTTAGAAAGACACTATCATCTATTTAGTTTTCAACTGTAGATATAATAATCCAATATTATCTTTACCTACAAGAGTCCAAACCATCCATTTCTCTCAAAAGCTACATGTATACCAAATCAGACATTCTATTCCTGCCTAATATCTAATTATTATAAATTTTTAAGATGAGGCTTAAATCTTCTAAAAATAGATTGACACAAGAAGTAAGGTTAGGAAGACCTTTTTACCAGAGTCTAAAAAGGTAATTTGGTTAGGACATGACATAAAAGTCATGATAACTAGCACACTTATATAATACCATTAAACTAGCACACTTATATTACCATGATGTGTTTCAACCAGCACACTTATATCATAAGCAGTGTTATAGTTCTTTAAGGAGAAATAAATAACTTAATTTTATCCAGATTATCATCTTTTTAGCTTTAGATATATTATTAAGTTCAGAAGCTCAAAAATTTAGCAGTATATAAAATAATATTTTTCATATGTAAACTAATTTCTGTTTATTTTGACTGAAAGTTATTTTAAGAATGTTTCAGCCACAAGAGAAAGACTAGTTATACAAGTGAAAGTGAAAAGCTACTTGGCATTCCTCATATTGAGTCAGGTGCTGGAGAAAAGCAGTTCAAAGTAATTAATAATCTAATAGAATCTTTTGGCTTCAGTCATTATATACAGTGTATGTTTGGCTACTACTACTTTTAACACTAGAAAGCATTAAGGAGTAGTAGCAAGAATGGTGCATAAGCTTGGTCGGCCACTGCTTCTTCTTGCTTGTAGATATCATGTATTGGAAAGACATGTTACCCACTCAAAAAAGACACAGTTTCATTAATGGAAAATCAACTTAAACAGGAACTTGGACAAATAAACAACATTTTGAGGCTAAACGGTTCCACAGTAATAGATAATAGGATCTATAAAAAAATGTCAAGTGCAACTGCATTGTTTGTTTTAACTTGCTAAGAAATTTTTTAACAATATATTTTGTATGATCAAAATATGTAAAACTAATTCTTATAATTTTAGGATGGTAATTCAAGAAAAGATTATTAGGTGTTTGCATGATACATTGGACCAGGAATACAAAATTTAAGGTTTAAATTTTGTATTCCTGGTCCAATGTATCATGCAAGGTTTATGACAAAAGCTTTTTTTTTTACTTTATCTTTATATTTACTGTTGGAAACCACTCCAAATTTATCAGAATAAAATATAAAAGAATTTTGTGATAGCTATGTTTGTTGGCATCTTTTACACTCTGGTTCCTTAGACCAACATTTGCAACTCCTGTTCCATATCAGGTTAATAATAATAATAATAATAAATAAAATAAGAAAACAGCATAAAACAATTAGTTGATTGTTTAATTGATGATTTAATCTAATTCTGTTAAAATAATGTGTAGGACATGAAAGCTTTGTAGCAGATGAAAAGGTTCATGGATATAAATTTTCATACTACTAAAACAATAAAATCATTTGACAGACACAGCTGGTATCCCGCTTTATTTGTACTTGATTTAGCAGATAAACATTGCCCAAACAGAAGATATTGCCAAAGCATTGTACAGTACACTTCTTACAAAACCATTAGTATATCCACTTGAATGTGTTATGGTTGATAAAGAGCTTCTTCACTCTCTAGATTTTGCATAAGATCAGCCTCCATCTTTTTGATCTTTAGTAACTGATCAATTTTGGCTCATCCTCAATAATATTGAACATTGAGAGAGTAAGTTGCAAAGACTTAAGATCTCTTTGCCATTATGGAAGTTCAATGATTTTTATCTTGAGTTTGAAATAATTGTTAAATCCCTAAATATGACTTATCAGAATGGCCATTAGATTAGTTAATGAACTGATTAGAAAATCAACCATTAAAAAGCAGAGACAGGATTTGTTCTTGCATAACCATGTTTACAAAAGAAGTAGGCAAGGGGCAAAAAAAACAGATTTAGAATCAAATGTAACTTATATAAAAGTTTTTATTGGTTGGTTTTAAATAGTACATTTTATAAGACTGAGTGCTTATAGTTTAATATTAATTTTTTCATTCTCCTGCAACTTGAAGGAAAGGTATATTAATAGGCCTCTCCCCAAATCCATCTTTTAGATTTTACTAATCCATCATTTAGATTTTTACTTAATATCTAAATTAATAATTTATATTTATAATTAATTAAAATATAATTAAAATATTATTATTTATTTTAATAATATAAATTATTAAAATAAATAATAATAACATGTTTTAATAGCTTTAAAACATTTGATCAAGTCAATGAGTATAATATAATAATACATTTTTTTATACTTTTAAGGAGTGATACAGTTTATTCCATCTGATGGCCCAACTTTTGGTAAAGTGATTACTAACCATCCCGAGCTTGCTGGAATCACATTTACTGGAAGTTCCAAGTAATACTTATATTTGACTAAAAAATTGTTTGAGAATTGTTTTAGTTGTTTTTAGTGTTCTTATGTTTTTAAACAAATAATAAGTCTATAAAAGCAAATAATAATAAAATAATCTTATTCAAGCTATTCAATGTATTGTACAATCTTTATATTTTTCAATTCTATTTGTAGAATCTTTTTTTTACTATTGCATCTGTTTTTATAATTTTTTTTATTTATTTTCTTACTACAAATTTTTATTATTATCACTATAAACTTAATTTAGTAACAGTAATAATAAAGCTTATAACATGAAAAAAAAAAATCAAAAAATATTTTGGGAAAAAAAGTTTAAAAAATAAGTGTAATAAACAAGAATAAAGAATTTAAATAAAAATAAAAAACAAGAAGAAAAAAACCCAAAACAAATAAAAACAAAGTTAATAGAAAATGGAAAATAATAAAAAAGAACTAAAATTTTTCACCAATATTGTATATGAAAAGAAAAGAAAAAAAAAACAATTTTAATTAATTTTGTACATTGTTTATATGTCATGTATTTATGTATATATATTTATATATTATGTATTTTTGCATTTTTCTCTGTCAATTTAGTTCTTTTTTTTTCTATATCTTGATATTTATTTTTGTTTAACTTATCTATGTAATGTGTAATATAGGCTTTAATATTGTATGTAGTAGTGTATGTAAATATTTTTTTGTTTAAATTTGCCTTTATTTTGCTTTTTTATATTTTTCTGCAAAAATTGTTTTCTGTCACTCTATCTTTCTGAACTTATGTGATTAAATTTTTGTTTTCTCTTGCATATTTTCTCACTTATCTTATCTCGCCCGTTCATTCTCTCTTTTTCTTTTTTTTTTCATTTTTCTGCGTTACTCTTTTATATTATTGTTCTAATTCCAACTTTTTCAATATTATTGTTCCTTATACTTCTTTTTTTATTACTTGTATTAATGTAGTTTATTTTCTTTATTATTTTCTTGTTTTAATATTTTTTATTTTATTTGTTTATTTTATCAAGGTGTTACTGCATTGACTAGTTTTTAACTATATGAGTGACACCAAACCTAAATTTGTAAATTATAATTAAATTTGTAATTTTTGATTTTATGGTTAAATAAATGGCTTAAGAAAAATGAAAAAAAAATAAACTAACACACACACACACACACACACACACACACACACACACACACACACACACACACACACACACACACATACACATACACACACATACACGCATACACACCTATCTTTATGTTAATGCTATAAAGAATTGAAAAATACTATAGACTTTTTTCTTCAATTAAATTCTTGGTATATATTTTTGAAAAATATTACGTTTGCAGATTATAATAAAATTAGCTCTACCTAATATATATATTTATGTGGGAATCTGAGTAACCCAAATGTGTATTTGACAGAATTTCTAAATAATAATCTTACGCTTGCCAAGATACTAAAATTTGGTAGATATATAGTTTTAAAAATAATTTATTTCTTCATAAGTTATTTTCAAAATTATATGCCAGTTAGTTTCTACTACAGTTAATTATATGCCAGTTAGTTTCTACTGAGTAATTTTAATGTTTATTTAAAAAAAATTAATGTGTTAGTTGTGTTTTAGATATGTAAGTTTATCAATATTTAGTTTAATTAATGCTAAATCAATATTTAGTTTTTCATTAAAAAGCATGGCTATTAGTTAGTTAACTCAGCCATTAAATAGTATTTATTCAAATTTTAATGCAGTTTTTTGTGAATATTTTGATAGCAACTACTCAAAATAAAGTGAAAGAATGTCCTTTATTAAATATAATAAAAACTTTTTGTCTGAGTAAATTTTTCAATTCAACTATTTATTATTGCATAGTGTTTAACTATCATTTGTTGCAGTATATGGGGGCAGTTGAAATAAGATTACCAGCAATGTTTGAGAGATTTATTGCAGTATATGGGGGCAGTTGAAATAAGATTACCAGCAATGTTTGAGAGATTTATTGCAGTATATGGGGGCAGTTGAAATAAGATTACCAGCAATATTTGAGAGATTTATTGCAGTATATGGGGGCAGGTGAAATAAGATTACCAGCAATGTTTGAGAGATTTATTGCAGTGTATTGGAGCAGTTGAAATAAGATTACCAGCAATATTTGAGAGATTTATTGCAGTATATGGGGGCAGTTGAAATAAGATTACCAGCAATGTTTGAGAGATTTTAGGTGAAGAATTACTCACAGAGTTATATTTTTAAAAATTTTTGGAATTAAAATTACAGTTTAAATCATGATAATATTTATAATTTAAAACTTTTTTTACATTTATAATTTATTTTAACTTTTACATTTATAATTTATTTTTAAGGTTCTGTTAACTTGTTAATTGTTAAATAAATAAATACATTTATAATTTATTTTAAGGTTCTGTTAACTTGTTAATTGCTTGAAGATTTTAACAGTAAACCATTTGTGCTTAAGTACATTTGCATAAATTACATGTCAAAATAAACATTTATTTTAAATTTTTAACCTTTTGACTTGGACAAGCAATCACTATTAAGTTTAGATATACGAGGAAAAAAGAATATAGTTATAGAGCAAGGAAGGAGCAAGCTTGACAAAAGACTTTAAAAGTTGAAGGTTGTATGAGTCAGGAAAATATGAAAATGGGAGAGAGTTCCAAAAGGTTAAAGTGCAGGGAAAAAAACTAGACATTAAAGTTTTTAGAGCATGCAGGGACAGATAGTCAAATTTATATATGGTTTCCATGAAAGGTCAGTAGTAAACGATAATCCAAGAAGAAAAGAAGAAGACTCATTTAATAATTTCAAGAACTCTTAAAATGTTAGTCTCGATCGAGGCAGAGACTAGTCCCTAGTCTCTGCCTCGATCTAATGCATGATAAAATCTTTCAGTCACAGCAGTTAGCAAGTCAGTCGTAGAGCAAGAGGATTGAAAGCCGTATTGATTGTCTGAAAATTATTTGAATCAATATGGGATGTAAGAAATTTGTTTATCAAAGACTCAAAGAGCTTGCTAATAACAGAAAGAAGGTTGATTAGACAATTGGAAGGCTAAGAATGTTCACTGGAGTTTTTGAATTTGTGTTTCAATTTTTTACTGAGTTTTTTGTTGAAAGTGTAATTAGATCAGAAAACATAACTATTATTTTCCTGTGTTAAGTTAAAAACTAGTTTTTATCATAAATATTTTGAGATGATAGTTTTATCAGAATGTTAGTTGATAAATAATTCGAATTCGAATCAAAATAAATGATAAATCTTGTTTTAAACAGATAATAATAAGTTTTAACGATTTATCAGTCAAGTCTCATTGAAAAACTATAATATAAAAGCTTTATTTTAAATTTAGCCGTCTATTCACAGTTCTCTTATTCCAACTTTTTTTATCCTTACTTCTTATGGCTAAAGGCAAAGGAAAAAGATTATCAAAAGATCATTGAGTCGAAGTTATGCTAAACTTAAAAAAATTGATGCACCAAGCAAATGAGCGATTGCAAGAGAATATAATGTAACTGAAAGTTCAATTCGATCTCTCTGGAATAATCGAGATCAAATAGAAAAAAAAAGTTTACTAATGACAGAAGCTAGAAAAAAAGTGTTAAGATTATCATCTGGAAAATTTGAAGCAATAGAAAATGAGCTATATATTTGGATTTGGGAATTTTAAAAGACAATAATGATAAATTAATGAATAGCTACGAACAACTATCATCAAACATACGGTCAGTAATTATGAAAATTAAACGAGAAAAGCTACAGAATGCATATGAGCCTACAATTTTTGACTTTTTCCCTCATATGTAATATATTTCTTAATAAAGATTTATATAGTTAATAATTTAGTTTGCTAAATTTTTTTTTATTTTTTTCTTATTTGCGCACTCCTAGTTAATTGCGCACCGCAGTGCCTGTTTAAATTTGCGCAATTAAACGAGAGACTACTGTAGCAGCTGCATAAGAGGGTGAAAACCATTTAGTAGAATGAGGCTTGACTTGGAACCAACAAGAAGGAATAAAAGCTTCCATTCCTGCCTGAATCCAGGAGGTTACGTAGGAGGCACATTTTTCAGCTGAAAAGTGTGCCTCCTACGTGCTACGTCCTAAGTGTATTGTTAGATCTAACACAATGTTGCATTGGAAAAGCATTAAATAAAGATTGCCGTGAAGTAAATATTACCAAAATGAAAAAAATTGAAGGTTTTGAGGAATTAACAGAAAAAGATCAAGAACTTGTGCACTTACATGTAACTTTTGCACTTGCAAAGTAAATCATATTTTTGAAAGAAAATGGCATTATTTAATGTTTTATTATTTTGTTACTTTTTAGAATCTATCCAAGTAATCAGTAAAGATGTTGCGAAGGAGTTTGATTGGTTGGTCATAAACTTTGTACAGAATGTTGAAAAATATTGCATTTAAAAAATAACAAAGTAGATTACGGAAGCAATTTATGTCAACATTAAGATAATTATTTTAATTAGACTAAAACTTTAAAAGAAAACTTTACTTCAAGGAATTAAAGTTTTCTCTTAAAATTAATGGAATTAATTAAAGAAAAGTTTGATATTTCTTCAAAATCAGAAAAACTTTAATTACTATTTAAAAATCAAGTTCATGAATTTTATTAAGTTAAAAATTCAGTATGTGTTTGTGAGTACCACCAGAATGCAAAACTTTTAGCGTTAAAAATACCAGATATTTTAGACTATAAAGACCTCTTGATGTATGAACAAATTGAGACTGCATGCTGCACAGTTTCCATAACTGCCCAGATACACACACACTAAAAGAGTATCTAACTGCTTTGTTTGATAAACACAGCATGGAAGAAATCACTTTTAATTAGTGGCAAAAAGCCAACAAAATATATGATATAGTTCCAGTAACTCTTCCAGTGAATGATTTTATTAAAAAAGCTTGTCAACAAATAGACCAATTAAGAGATCATCATTATATAGCCAAAAATCAAGCAGCGTATTTGCAGCATCTAAAAATAACATCATTTTTTAATTCAAGATGCAGTAGGAGGAGAAAAAATGTATGATTGGTGTAGACAAAAAGGAATTCATTTTCAATACATTTCAAATGATGCAATTGTATTTATACATTTCAAATGATGCAATTGTATTACATTGCATAAAGTTAAAACTAGAAGAGCGTTATGCTATTTGTTCAGCAATTCCAGGAACAAGAAACCACCATTGTTTTATACCGCAATCATTATGACAATATATATATAATAATGTAAATGTTTCTAAAATGTAGCATATGGTTCTACTTGCTTATCTTTCACCATGAATTAATATAGCATGTGTTTATAATGTAAAATGGTTTTTAAGCAATATTGTTGAAATATCTGAAGAAAATCGAGATGTTCTTATCAAGTTCATTAAACAGTCTATTTCGTTAAACACTTTTACTTGGCCACATAAAGAAGATATTTGTTGCGTTCCAATCACACATGTTTTATGTAAAGTTTCATCTTAACGTAATGTAATTAAATAAAAATGTAGCAAAATTATTATAAATTTGATTTATTTGTTTAAAATATAGTTTTTAAGCAAAAAAATTTTTGAAAGATTCAATGTTTATATTGATTGTTTATTACATAATAATATTCTTTATTACATAATCAACTTGTGCATTGTGTTGACAAGTCAAACAACTCTTATAAGTTGGTATAAGTTGTAATCTAAATTTAAACATGATAATTAAGTGTCAAATTATTGGGGAGGGGTGGAATAGTAAATGTATTGGGAAAATATTTCAAAATTTCATATTAAATATTAGGTAAATTTGACTAATAGTCTTTCTTTTCATTTTTACCTAAAAAAGTTTTATATGCAGTCTTTTACTGTCTAACATTAAAAACAAAATTTCACAGTTTTTATATGTGTATGTTGTATAGTGGTGTGTTTGGGCATCAAGGTACTTCGTACATCAGACATAAATCTAGACACATTGTGTAAGAAGAAGTGTTCAATTACAATTTTTTTCTAACTTTTGGGCAAAAATGTGCATGTTAAATATCAAAAGTATATGGACAGGGGAGGAGTAGGTGCTGCTAAGACCTAGGGCTATTTAAAAACTGAGTTTAATTCAGGCCTAATTAGAGATTTGTTTCCAGTACTGATTATGAAATACTTTTAAATTCATACAAATTTTGTATTACTATATATAATACAAACTAAAGTACAACAATAATTTTATTTTTATTGTTTTTATTGCATTTTGGGCAATTTTGATTGGTCTGATTTTGTAACTTCCCCATGAGTATCCACTTTTTTTTTTTCTTAAATCACTGTAATAAAGTCTATTGAATAATAAGAAGAAAAAAATCTTATTAAAACCGGTGTTGATCCTAGGTTACCATTGATTTGAAGTTAAGGCACATTTTTCTAATTTTTTGCTGCAGCCATTTTTTTTTCCATAATTTTTTACTGAATTGTATCAAAAAATTTCAAAAAATTTGGATTTTATAATTATAGAAACTAAAAAAAAAATTTAATTACTTATTATTACTTATTTTAAATTACTTCTTAAATTGCAGATTTTGTTTATTGGCTCATTCTTAAATTGCAGATTTTGTATATTGACTCATCAACTTTTTATATTTGCAAATGGTTGCTTTATGGAGCCATTATAAAAATGGTATTGGCATGGAATGACTCATTTACAATTTTTACAATAAATTAGCTGTTTTGTTAAAATACACTAATTCCCTTTTAAAATTTTTCTGTAGAGTCTTCTATTTTTAACATTTATTCCACAGTTTTTTTTTTTTTTATTGTAAAACAAATTTTTTAATGATGTAAAAAAAAAAATTTACCCAAACAGAAGATATTGCCAAAGAAAACAAGTCAAGTATGAAAATTGTTTTGTTATTATTTAAGAAATGTGCAAAACGTATTACATGTAAATAATAGATAAATAATTTAATAATGTAAATAATAGATAAATAATAAAATAATAGATAGTAATTAATGATAAATAGTATGCTAATTTAATATTAGTTATTCATAGTATTATTAATAACAGTTATAGTTAGTAGTTATTTAGTTCGTTATAATTTTTTTTTAATTATGATTTTATGTTTTAAGGAGTTATCACACTACTTAAGGATGCTTTTTTAAAAAGTATTAATCTATTGTTATACTTCTATGTCTATGAAGTATAACAATAGATTATATTATGGCTATGACCATAATCATAGCCATAACAATTAACCATAACCATGTGTGAATGGTATGAATAAAGCAACTATTCAAAGAAAAGATTTTTCTTTGAATTTTCAAACTTTTATGTTTAGAACATTCAAGTCTATATGGAAAAGGGTTGGTGAAAATATTGACAAGTACAGGTATACTATATGGTTTACTTATATTAATTATTTATTCTAGTAATATAGGTACTTAAAAAATTACATTTGAGTAATTATTTTTAGGACCTTTCCTAAGTTAGTTGGAGGTATAAATTTTTGTTTTTCAGTTTAGTTTAACATTTACTTTTTTATTACGAATACTTTTGTATAAAACTTTAAAATATATGAAAAAAAGCAATATAAATATATATATATATATATATATATATATATATATATATATATATATATATATATATATATATATATATATATATATATATGATATGATATGATTTTGTTGTAATGTTTATATATAGGTATTTATACATATACATATGTTTGTATATATATGTATATATATATATATATATATATATATATATATATATATATATCAGGCTTTCCCAGGAAAGGCGTGCGGTCGCACGCCTTGTTTGTCCACGCATAGAATAAATTTTTCAGAAAATGTGACCGTGGCAATATTTCGTAAGAAAGCGGAAATTATCCATAGAGAATAAAAAATAATATTTAAAAAATGAAACGAAGTCTAAACAAAGTATAAAATTGAAATTGGATGTAAGAAAAATATTTCGATAATAAAAAAAAATTAAAAAAAAAAATTCTTGTAACAAAAAAAAAAGTCTTGAACATTTTTTTCAAAATTTTATACTGTTTTTGTTTTCTTTTATTAGGCTTGCTATTTTCAGCTACGAAATTTGATACAAGTCAAGGAAAAGACGACGATAAGTCATAAAGTTTTTACGAAAATAAAAAGACTTGATACGTAATTTATTCACGAACTTTATCAGACAATGTATTAAAAAATTGATTCATTATTTACGCTAGACAAATTTGGTCAAACTTTTTCATTTAATTTAGTTTTTACGAAGGTTTATGCAAAGGCAATGACTTTATTCCCCAATACTTAGACAAGAAAATAAATTGCTGTTTTAATTATTAAATATATTATTTGAGATTTTAAACATAACAAAATTTTAATGTGAAAAAAGTTCTCGACTTATTCTAAACTGATTTTACTGAGTCAATGCTCGTCTTTTATTACGTTGAAATTATTCAATTGCATAATTTTGTAATTACAAAAAAAGTTAAAAAAATAATTGCATTGCTTCTGTTGTCATTGTTACGAAAACAGTTCCTTCGGGACATTATTATATATTAACACTCGTTCACAATGTCAATTAATGATCACAAAATAAGCAACTCAATCGTTTGACAATAACATTTTTTTTCATTTAAAAAAAAAAAAAAAACATATTTTACTAATAAATAGCAATCGTTTTCGTGTTTTCTTGCGTATCAATACATTCAAACATTAAAATCAATACACATAAACATTTAAATGTGTTTACGAAACATTTAAAAATTGTTTATAGTTCTATCGTGTATTTTAAAGTATTACTGACTGATAAAAGTCATAAACAAATTTTACATTAAAAGGTCCTTTTATTTTCTTTAAGCATTAATCTTTTTCTTTTTGATTTGATTTTTCTTATTGATTTGATTTTTCATAGCTTAAATAACTACCACCCTAAATAAATAAATAAATTATAGGTAAATTTTTTTTTTAATAATATGCATTAATTTTTTAATTTTAAAGCACAAACAGATTTCTGTTATTCACTTTAAGATTGCTTGCATTTTTGCGGTATTTTCGTTTAGCTTTGTTTTGGCGCGAATTCTTGAAACGCACAGTAATAAAACGTGGTCAGTTAGTCAGAAAAATTTATTCTATCCGTGGACAAACAAGGCGTGCGACCGCACGCCTTTCCTGGGAAAGCCTGATATATATATATGTATATACATACACACACACGTTTAGGGTAATTTAATCCACATCCACGCTAAAATTGCTGCAGTCAGGCTGTTTATAGACTTACATCACAGTATTATACATCATTAGATAGCTAAGTTTTTCAGCTACAAAACTGTGCAAATTTTTTTAACTTTTATAAGAATGTTTCACCATTAAAAACTGTATAGGGTGTCAAAAGCATTAAACCTCACCCACTTGAACTCAATCTTGCCCACTGGACAACATAAACAGGTGTAAAAGATAAAGTCTTGTTCCTTAATTTGTAGGCTCCAATAGCTTGGCTTGGAACGTTTGGAGCATACAAATGCTACACAATCGATCTTTATTTGACCAGTGTTAAGATTAAACCCAATTCATTGTGTTAATTTTAATAATTTTAAAGCTGCTTTATTCAAGAATTTTAAAATATTATGAGGTAGCAAAATAGAATTTTGAACAAATAATACAATATAGTATTTAGCAAAAGTTACTCTATAAGTAGCTAATAAATCATAATCCATAAAAATGTCAATTCCGAAAAAATTTGAACAACAAATAATAACTCCTGAAAACTAACCCTTCAGATCTTGTGCTGTAATGCGTAATAACCTTTCAGTGGCTTGAATAAGGTGCGATCACATGGCTGAAGCCAGTTTAATATGTGTGAAGGCATTTCAATTATATGTATTTGGTTCTGGATAGCAATATCGATTAGCTCAAGGAAGTTGTGAGATCCCTGCCCATACAAAATCAACAACTGAGGACGTTGTGTGCCAATATTTTCCAAAAATGTCTTGGTAAACCATAACTTTGCTAGGCCCTGTTTAGTCCAACTACTTTTAGACTAGCTCCAATTTTTTCCTGGTGGTGCAGACTGTTAAAACCCACTAAAGACCCAGATTTTTTTAATTTTACTATCACCTGAAGTGAAATGATCTTAGCCTGTGTATTCACACAGACAATTACAGTGATTGACTTTCGATTTTTATTTGTTCAACTGTATAGAGTTTTTGTGCCTTTTAGTGCAACTACTTTTCTTGGTTTTACATCAAGTTGTAGACTAGTTTCATTCATATTCCATATGAATTCTGGTTTACCATGCAAACCGGAATTTTTCACTATGATGTCATTCAAGACATCAGAAAACTTTGACACTTTTACTTTATCCATGCACTGATATGGTACTGAAGCTGTTCCCTCAGGTTGTCACAGAGTAAATCAATGCCCATACCTGTACTTAATTAAAGACCACCACTAGTTGCTTGGAAGTCTATTTATGATATGAAAAAAATGATTTTTTCATATCATAAATTTTTAATTTGATCATAGAATGAACATCAAGACTGTTAAGAAATTCACCCATAAACAATTGCCCCCTCATTAAAAAAAAAATTGTGAGAAACATAAGACAATGTTATGAATGTTTTAAGAAATAAATAGAATATATAAATTTTTTAAAATAAAGAAATATTTTTTTTTACAAACAACATAAATTTCATTGATAATTTTTTTTACAAAAAAAATCGTTTATTTTAAAGATATACAAATGAATAAAAGACTAAATGATTTTTTAATGTAGTGTCAAATTAAATTTAATTTACAATGTGGTACTTTTAAATATGCAGCTGACATAGTTTAACTTTTAAAGATATAAATAAATTTATTGAATAAATATTTTTTTACATTTAAATATATTTTTACATTTTTACATTTAAGTATTTAACTTGTACTTGTATTATTTCCTGTTCCTACCCTCCAACTCCTCAAATATTTTTTTCACACATGGGTTAAATATATATCTTTAAACTAAATTTTTTTAGAATGTGGTGGAAAGAATTTTCATTTTGTTCACAAAACTGCTGACATAGGTAAATATATATATATTTTTTTCTTATGTTGAATGTTCATGTTCCACATGGTTCCACATTTTGATAAATTTCTATAATGTCATTTTCTTATTTGAGTACGACATTATGGAAGAATTAAAGTCACTCCAGATCCAGATGTTGACCGTTTTGTTGATATGAATGTTTTTATTCTGTTACTGTTATTAGAAAGATTGCTATGTCAAGTTTATAAGCATCTTGTATCAGTCTTTTTTTTCTTCTAGGTATGTTACATTCACCACAGCTAAAGAACCATAAATTTGTATCAGTTTAACCTTAAGACTAGCACAAAAATGCCAAATTTTAATTAAAATTTTTTTTTTTTAAACATTTTATTTTGAATGTATTTATATTATGTGTTGTGTCTTTACAGATAGCGTTGTTTATGGCACAATTCGTTCTGCATTTGAATATAGTGGTCAAAAGTGTTCTGCATGTTCAAGATTGTATGTTCCTGATTCTCTATGGCCAAAGGTTTTTTTTTTTCACTTTATTTCAATCTGACATTATTTTTAAACCTGATAGTTAACATTTTTAAATCTTATTTAAGAATTAATTGTATAGGAATAAATAAATTGAAAAAGCAGCAATTTTACACTGATTGCTTTTTGTTGGGATAATTATGAATACTCAAGCAATGTAATAACGCTAGTTTTTGCCTGACAAAATGCAGATGGTTTCTAAAATAACAATTCTAATTATATATGATACTAACATTAGATTTATACAATGTTTGAAAGCAACTTTAGATAAATGTGTGTGTGTTGTTGTTTCTGTTATCTTTTTTATAAAAATAATTAAATTATTTTTTAACAAGTTTAACAATAAAAAGTTATTTTTTATTGTTATACTTGTTGCTTTCTTCTGATATTTTTAGATTAAAGAAAAATTAATTACAGAAATTTCCAAACTGAAGCTTTCTGCAGTAAGTTTTCTATTTTATCATTTTCGGTCTGTAAAATATTTATTAAATGACGTTTTTTATTAGGTAATTTTTTTTTTCTTTTAACATTTTATTAATTTGCTATATAATAATAAGTTAGGTAACTGAGACTTGTAAAATATGATTATTAGGGTGGCTTTTAAAACAATCTATTTTGAAAATGTTTGCTTTTAACCTCTAAATGTGTTATATATATCGAAAAATACTAGAATTTAAAAAATTAATAGGGGTAGCTAAAGTCACTTGAACATTAGACAGGTCCCTAAAATTATCCAAAAAAAAATTTTTTTGGATAATTTTAGAAAAATCTTGTTGAGTCTCAAAAGAAGATTTTTTTGAAAATTTTTTTGTACAAAAAATTATAAAAAAATTTTCAAAAAAGTTTTCAAAAAGATTTAGAGAATTCTTTTATAAAAAATATTGACAAAAAAAATAAATTATAAAATTTTTTTGTAATAATGCATATTTTTTATTTTTAGTTATAAAATGTCATTTTCTAGACAGCGATATCTAAAATAATATTTTTTTTTTATGAAATGATGATTATTTTTAAATAATCATTTTATAAAATTATGAGTCAGAGGTAAGGAGAGGATGAGTCAGACTTTAAAGTATCATTTTATAAAATTATGCTTCTAAGACCTCTTCTCAATCTCGTAATACAAAACTTTAAAAATGCTGAACACATCACATCACAATTGCTATATAAACAAATTCAAATTATCTTTGAAAATGTCAATGTCTCTAAAAATTACATAAATATTACTGATTTGTTGTTTAAATGGCTTTAATTAAAGTTGAAGTTTTATTTTCTCAATTAGGCTGATGATTTCTCATCATTTCTTAGTGCTGTTATTGATCAGCAAGTAAGATTTTTTTTTTCTACTAAATCTTATCAATATTTGATTTCTTTTATTAAATTTAATTTATTATATTATATTGTTTACATTTAATGATCTGTAAAACTTAAATGACAATGAATTCGATTATAATAAATGCTCTAATTTCAGATTTTTTAATTTATAAAATGTTTGTTTTTGTTTATTTTTAAAATAATTTATTCCCAACAATTTGAGAGCAACCACTTTAAGTTGGGAGTTACCAAAAAATAGTATTGTTAAAGAACAAGAAAATGCTTGACAGTATTTATAATAAAATATAAATTATATGAGTTGAGAAAACATAAAGATGGGAGAGAATTCCAATGCATTAATGCCTGCAGAAAAGTTTGTAGAAAAAAGAAACAGATGCAACCCTATAGCGATAGAATAGAGTTTTAAGCTTGACAAGTTAGAGCAACTACCTTTACAATATGTTTTTGGACCTTAAAAAGGAAGGGCCTCTTTAGAATAACAAGCACAAATATGACAACAGTATTCCGTACAGGGACATATAAGAGATTTGTAGAGGCGAAGGATAGAATCAAGAATAAAAAAATAGTGACCATAATAAAGAGAGGCAACTTTAGTAGAGCCTAACTGTGCAATTGATTGTATATATACTGTATTGTATATAATTGATTGTATATGTTTCCCAAAGAGGTCCTTAGTGAATGATAATCCAAGGTGTAAAGAAGAGAACTCAGTAAGAAGGTTGTCATTCATTAATTTATGAACAACAATATTAAGCTCATAAATACAAATATTAGATATGCAAAAAATAAATTCATTGGATTAAGGTAAAGTGGTGTAACATTAGCACATCTTTAGAAAGAAAAATTTTTACATGAAATAAAAAATTTTTACATGTTAATTTTGTGTTTGCCAACAATATTCCTGCCATAAACTTATAAAAAATTTAATTAGTCGTGTAATATTATTGATACATAGATTTTGTTTTTGGCATGCAAGTATCTATGTTATCCTCTATATATGGGCTAACATTGACATTAGTATATTACATTGTAAATGTTAATTTACATTTTAAGAGTTAAAATTATCATTGTAGTTTTGAAAAACAAATTAGAGAAAACATTTTAAATATACACTAACCTACTATTTCATTTTAAAAATTAGCACCAGCCAAAAATTAAAGCACAAACCTTCATTTTCATTTTAAAAATTACCAGCATTAAAAAGTTGTAAAATTCCAATGAAAATGTAATGAAATATTATTTTTTGAAAGATATCAATTAGCTTTAGTTCTGATATTGTCTACCTGAAGGTATAAAAAATGTTAATTTTTACTTTTTTTCTAAAAAATCGTCAAACTGTTAAGCTCTACAACACATTAATGACTCAATATCTGATTGACGAAATCTTGCAGCATTTTAATTTTTTGCTAGACTTATATGTGGCAGAATTTTTGGTATTAGGTTCAATTTCTGAAACAAGATTTTTTACATCTTCAGGTTATGATGTTTTGTTCTTGCCGATGTTGTGCAACATTGTTAGTGTGGATTTTAACTTTCTTTTTTTAGACATTTGATGTATTGGTACATTTTTTTAGATGAACTCTTTTAATTTAGGGTTTGCTTTGTTTTCTTACTTGATTCCATTTCATTTTAATCAAGTTTAAAACATTCCGCTAACTTTTGCTTGATTCTTGGTGCAAGGATTTGCTTGGTTCTTGGTCCATGGGTCTACTTAAGCATTCTGTTAATGTTACTCCAAAACTAAAACATGCGTTTAAAAAAAAATGCTACAAAATAATCTTAAATGCTTAGTATTTTGCAAACAGCATCATAAAAACAGCATTATAAAATGATTTTTATATGTTATATATTAAACACATATAAAATGATATAATAGTATTATTTTAATTACCTTTTAACAGTAACAAAAAAACTAGAAATTTATTTAATTTATGTCCATCCTATTGTGTTGTTTTATACTTACTATCATGCTGATAAAAATAGTTATTTTTGTTCATTTCATATCTGGCCACAACATCTGTTGAAATTTTAATAATAGTCACAGATATCACAGGGTCATTCCATATGAAATCATCCAGACCATGACACCCTTACGTATCAGAATTTGTTCATTTTTACCTCACTTGCAGTCAATATTTTAAAAAAAAATACCTGCAAAAATTTCAGTTAAAAACACACAGGTTCCAGAAATATCGTCAATTAAAATAATGCTGACTCAGCATTTAAGTGATTATCTGAAGAGACTACAAATACATATAGTATCTTCATAATAGCTTGGGGAAATTTCCTAAAATTTGGTACCCCAATAGGTTTTTATTTGTGAAATCCAAAAATAACACCCTCTAGACTTGATTGTCTCAAGAAATGCCTCGTTTATCCAATTTTGTTCCAAATTATTTACTTGTAAATTCGTGATTTTCGGAGGTAAAATGAAGACTGTGGCCCATAATCCTGAATAAAAATTTTATTTGTATATCATTACTTTATCTTAAGTCTACTGAAAAAAATTAGATTCATCAATTGTCTCTCTAATCAATCAATTCAAAATTTGCGTTTAAAAATTGTCTTTTTAGAGAGATTTAAATTTTGTAACAAAAGCAATTGAAATGTTTTTTAAAATAATTGTTTGAATAAAACATTAAATAGTGTTATTTATTGACTAGTTTATCTTATTTATTGATTAGTTGATCAGAGGGCCAGGGGGCCTCTGACCAACTCCGCCCCGCCCTGGATTTTTTTTTTTTTTTTAAATGCATAAAATGATATAATAATAAATAATTGTTAAAATTCAATTTAAAAACATATTTTTTTTTAGTTTAAGTTTGGGAAATAATTTATTTTCATTATTTACCTCTTATTTCAAAGTAAGCACTCAAAACTAAGATCTTTTCATGATTTTAAAAATCATAAATTTTAAAACCAAAGGTATTGAAATGTTTTTTAAAACCTTTTAACAATTAATATCTTTATGGTATTATTTAGTAGATTAATAATAATATAGTCATTAACATAATAAGGTGGAAACCTTTTTTCTAATTGTGTTTTAATATTTTAAAACAAATTCCATTTATCTTGACATTACAAAAGGAATACATTAGATTAACATTTAAAATCTGCTTATTAGTTATTTGTTTTAGACTTTCTTGACATACTACTCTTTTAACAGTCCCACCAATACCATCACAGGGGGATTTACCATGATTGGTACCAAAAAATACCCATTCAGCATTTAAATAAAAGTCTTTACTGTGATGACAAATATTGATAAAGTTTTTAAAATTTTTAAATTGTGATGCACAACCATTAGAAAAGTATTTTACACTTGATACAACAGGTAAATTTTCTTTGATATATCTAGTTATATCTTCCTGAGTTTTGTAAATAAATCCTGTATTATGATTAACATATTCTGAAAGGTAACAAAAAGATTTGTGTTTAAAAACTTTTTTCTCTATAAAATAAAATACAATTGTAAAAAGTGAACATTGACTTTTGCTCCTGTGATAGTTTTGAACCTCATCCTGAACAACATTGATAATTTTTAGTGAAAATTCGTTTTGGTTAAGATTTTCTTTACAGTTTTTCAAGTATCTAATTGATTGTAATTCTATAGTGGTATCTAACTTAATTTTTTTTCTCACTTTTTGATTCCCATTCCTCCTGTGAATTTAAATCTTCATCTGTTTCTACTCCTTTTTTGTAACATTTACTTCAGAAGCCTGGGGTTAAACATTTTGTTGCAAAAATTTTGCCAAGTCTTGAGAAATTTTTATATTACCTAAGAAACAAATTTAGTGTTAAGTTTTTAAAATAACTGAAAATGTAAATTTTTTATAAATAATAAAATGTTTTTTTTTTTATATTTCCATATCAATTTTGCTGAAATTAATGTTAGATTACCTTTTATAGCAACTTTTTTACTTTCCTTGTGTGTTCCAAAAGGTTTGCAACACTTTGTAATTTTTCTCTCAAAATAATTCCCATAGCATTGCTCATGATAAAAATAAAATTCTTATTGAACAATACTTTTCCTTTAAATTTGCCATATTATTTCTTCTTGTTTTTCACAAGAAAGATATTTGAATTGAACAAAACCTTGTTTTCTAGAAAATCCAAAAAAATTTGTTTTTCAAACTTGAACTAAAAAAAATTGTTTTCAAATTGAATTTTAATAATTATTATTATATCATTTTATGCATTGAAAAAAGAAAAAAGTTCCAGGAAGAGACAATTGATAATCTAATTTTTTTCAGTAGACAAGATAAAATAATGATATGCAAGTTTACAAGTCAATAACTTTGAATAAAATTGGATAAACAAGGCAGTAAATGCCTTGTTTTTATTCAAAGGAAATTTCCTCAAGCCACAATGAATATACTATATGTCAAAGTTGTTTTGTAGTCGCTTCAGATAATCACTAAAATGCAAATGAGTCAGCATTATTTTAACTGGCGATATCTCTGGTACCCATGTATATTTTTAACTAAAATTTTTGCAGTTATTATCTCTTTAATATGGATTGCAAGTGAGGTAAAAATGAACAAATGAAAAAGAGACGTTAGGGTGTCAAAAATGTTTTTTTTTTTGTGGATGATTTCATATGAAATTGCACTACAGCTTAAAATACCAGTTCCAAAAATAAAAAAATAAAAACAAAAAATGCATCTAAACTGTGACCTTTGTTTAATGTTTAATACATCATGCTTTCCATAAAGTATAAATTTTTTAAACAAGATTTATAAAAAGTTAATAACTTTCTTGGAAGATTGCTTGACAGGTAAAGTGCAAAGTTAGAGATTCTTCATGCACTAGTGTTTATTCCATTTTAGGTTCTCTGAACAACATTGAAACTTTCCATATTGCTGTTGATTATAAGAAATGTCCATTTTGGACTAATACATTGTAGCTATCTACTTGTTTGGAAATACAATCAATTTTACTTGTTTTTCTTTTATATTTATTCACATAGTTTTTCAGTTTTTAATAGACAAATGGATATTATGCTACTATATTATATATCTATTATATCAAGCATTGTTTATTCAGTACATTGTTTGCACTATAAAGGAGTTATGCTTCAATTCTTTTTTAACAACAATATTGTTTTCAAAATTTTGTAGCTACTTGTTGTATTGCTTTTTCTATTTTTATAAATTGATTTGTCTATTTTGTATGATTATCGGTAGTTTTTATTGAACCTAGTTTGAATTCTCTGATATTATTGATAGTGTCCTAAGAAATCTCTGACCCTTACCACCACCACCACCAGTTTTTGCGTAACTAATTTTTTTCTTAAAAATATTGGTTCTGTATAACTTTGAGAAAACTTTGCCTTTAAGGCTAAAGATTTGATAAAGATAGCAAGGTTACAAGAAATGCCTTACAGTTTTTATCAAACAAAAATTTTTTTTTTTTTAATTTTTTTTTTTTATTTGCTAAACATTGTGGACATTGAATCATGAAAATTATTGTTTTCTAAACATTGTGGACATTAAATCGTTAAAATTATCATTTTCTAAACATTGTGGACATTGAATCGTTAAAAATTATTAGTAGTTATCATTTATTAACATTAGCAGGAAAATAAAAGCTTAATGGAAGGAATCAAGAAAAAAAAAATTTTTTTTATGTGATTTATTTTTAGTCATTTAATAAAATCAAGACATTCATAGATCATGCAAGAGGATTGAAGAATCACACTATTATTATTGGTGGAAAATGTGATGACAGGTACAGAGCATGTTTTTTTAAATAACAAAAAGTAAAGTTAAAAATTTAAGTATACTTGTTACACTAAATAATAAATAATCTATACTACACAATATAAATATAAGTAATATAAAACAATAGATATTTACACATTTGTATTATACAGTATGTTGTAGCAAGTGTATTTAATATATATCTACTCAGATTTATTTCATATATATATATATATGTATATAAATATATATATATATATATATATATATATATATATATATATATATATATATATATATATATATATATATATATATATATATATATATATATATATATATATATATATATATATATATATATATACTCAGATTTTAGTAATGTTGACATTTATATCAATTTGTTATGAATTTTAAAAAATAAAAATATCTTAAAAAATAAAGAAAACAAGAAAAATGGGCATTGACACTTTACTATGAACTTATGTATAAACAATTAAATCTGTTTGTTTTTTTTAATGAACAAAAAATATAAAAAGTAATTATTTCCTTCATATCTGGGAATACTTGAAGTTCCCTCTTCCTAAGGGAAAGATCAAGTACTGGCTATCCAAAGTCTTGTGGAATAATATGACTTAACAGACCAGATCATAGCTTGTTGTGCTGACACAACTTGCTTGAAACTGGGAAACTTGATGGTGCAATTAGAAATATTACAGTTTATTCTCTACCTTGTCCACTTCTTTGACTAATGTGCAGGTATAATGCTTTACTATATAAATTACAAGCATTTTTTTTTTTTTTCGGATAATAATGACAGAAAATGATAATATTAAATTTAGGCACCATATAATGGAACAACATGGTCATCATGTTATGATGGAACTACAGGGAGAAACAAAAAGACCCGGTAAATCCTTATACAAAAAATATCAAGATCTTTGGCCTAAGATTGAAAAATGCACTGGCCAACATTGAGAAATTTGATTGGAACAGACCTGAGTTTGATCTTGAAACCCTCTTTTACAATCTTGCAAATGAAACAATGCTGTTCTGCACAACATCTTTTAAAAATAAATATTTTTGACAGATGTGATTACAAGAATTTGTCAGCTGGTAGCTTTTTACCTCGAAGCAGATTTGTTGTACTTCAGGTTTCTGCTACCTGGTGTACATCACGAAGCAAGATTTATGGCTAATTCATTGTAGCTGTTAGCAATGAAAATGACCAAGAATTACAAGAAGCAACTCAGTATCAATGAGATTAAGATGATACAGGTTGCAACAAATTATATTGTAATCTTTCGCTGTTTATTTATTCTTAAGACCCAATCGCAGCTTAGGCTCCATCCAATGTGTTATCTTTACCCAATCGCAGCATCCAATGTGTTATCTTTACTTTATCTGGCCAGGGCTTAAAGAAGAAAGAGAGAATATATATTCTTGTGGAATTGTTAAAATGTGATGTTTGTATCCAGAGATGAACAGCTTTGACAAAGAACAATCAGATATATATATATATATATATATATATATATATATATATATATATATATATATATGTATAATATATATATATATGTATATATATATATATATATATATATATATTATATATATATATATATATATATATATATATATGTATAATATATATATATGTATAATATATATATATATGTATAATATATATATATATGTATAATATATATATATGTATAATATATATATATGTATATATATATATGTATATATATATATATATATATATATATATATATATATATATATTGTTTTCATTTTGCAAGTGTTTATAAATATATTAAATATACGATAAATTCTAATTATATTTTAGTTAAAAGCCAATTTAAAAAAATAATATGTTTACAAATATTCAAATAAAAAGTCTCTGCAATTGGTTTTATTGTCAAAAACTAAAAAACTGATTATCCACTCAAAAGTTATTACTTTTGATGAGAAGCAATTTTTTTATAACATTTTATATATGACCAAATTTTTCCTCATTCTTTTCAGCTGTCTAAATACAATGTTATTGTCTTCATCAGCACTTATGCTTTATTTATTTACAGTTTAAGGATAAAAATATTTTAAAAATTGATTATCAATTAAAAATAAATGAGATGAGAGGCAACTCAAAAATACAAATGGGCTGAAGCAACTTGGTAAAAAAAAATTTTTAAATACTGACATGACATGACACCCAGAAAAATTTCATTGTAAGTTTGTAATTTTTTTTTTTTTAGAATAATACTTTTAGAATATTTTATCTTATCTTTAGTGTATAATTCTAATGAAGTTTTAATTCATATCATTTGTGAATGTGTTATATACATTTATATTATATGTTATATTACATATAATTATATATATATATATATATATATATATATATATATATATATATATATATATATATATATATATATATATATATATATATAATATGTTTTATTACACATTATATACATACTAGCAGAGAGCAACCCGTAATAGGGGTTGTGGTTGGTCTGTTACATTATTAATTTATAGTGGCTGTTTTCCACAATTTAAAGTTGCAAAACCTTAACTAATACCCTTTTAGAAAAACGTCTTCAAATTGAAAAAGTTAAATAAAAAGTATGAGGAGGTAAAATAATTTACCAATTATTATTTAACATCATTTAAGTAATTTACAACTGACATATCAGTGTTAGGCAGAACCATTTTTATCAACATTTGAAAGTTTAACACAAGTTTTTAGTTATTGACACAAAATAATAATACTTCATTGCTCTTTAAATCAACAAAAATATCAACTAAATCCTTGCAATATTTTTGTAACATGAACTTTTATTAATTATTAAGATTAATATGAAGTTAACTAATATTAAACAGGAGTTATTAATTTTTCTTTAGAAAAGAAAATTGTTATCTTAAAAATGTTAAATGCACATAACTAAATAAATTTATTAAAAATAACTAAGTTTATTATAATTAAGTAATTGAGTACAAATATGTTTCAAACAAAAAAAATTACAATCAAACGTGTATAATATTATAAAATTTACAATCAAACATGTGTATAACAAATTTAAAAAAGTCAACTTTGATCTTTTATATCACATTAATGCGTTATATGACAAATCTAAAATAAAAATTGTAACAGATAAGTAGACATAAAAGAAAAGAAAAAAATAATTAAATAACTGGAAAACAATTTACCTGCTTTTGGTAACCTGTTGCCATACTTCAGTTGCTGTCATGATGTAGCAGTTCTTGTCGGTGTTGTTTAAAGACATTATTTCATGTTGGCTTTTAGTAAACTTTAGTTTAAGACATCACAATAGATTTAAAATAGTTAGATTAAAAAGCAAAATACAAAATGCTTCAAGGAGCCAAACTATAAACATCAAAGATAAAAAATCAAATTGAGATATAAATAAATTGATTTATGTTGCTAAATATGTTGTCTTGGCTTATAGTAAATTTTAAAAGCAGTGAGTTCAAGAAATTAAATTTATTATTTTTAACAATAGAATGTAGCATCATTATATTATGATAATTGGATAATGAATTAATTTAACTCTATTAAAGTTTAATTGGTGAAAAAACAATTAAAATTTTAATTAAAAAAGATCAAAACAAATCAAATATACAATATTTAATTAGGATCAAAAAATATAATTAGGAAAAAAAAAATTATAATCTGGAATAGTATTCTTGTTATACAATGCATTCTTTCGTATCTAGCAGCATATCTAGCTTTTTGTTGATTATTAATTTCATCTCGCCTAAGCCTCTCTTTTATTTCTGTGATAATTATTTTCAACTCGCCTAACCACGCTCTCCTCATTTGGCTTCAAATTATTTGCTGCTTGCCGAGAAACATACGTAGCATTTTGTTGATTAATAATTTTATCTCGCCTAAGCCCATCTCTTTCATTTCTGCAACGATTAATTTGCCTATTAACATTTCTATTTTCTAAACGAATCGATTCCATTTTCTAAACGAATATCTACTTCTAGTCTAATATCATCTATTAAATTTCACTTTTAATTGAAAATAGTAGCAAAAAATCTCAAAAAGAATCTTAAAGATTGTGATCTTTTCTATATAATTTTTTTTTCTACTCTAAAAATAGCACACACAAATAATTTTTAAATAGCACACACAAATAATTTTTAAATATAAGAAACAGTCATTTAAAATAAATTATACAATAATCTTATGACTAAAAAAAACAAAAAAACATATCAGCTAGAAGATGTTTAAACAAAAAATTAAATTCTAAATTTTTTTATTTAGATTTTAAAAAAATAATCAAAATAAATGAATTAACAAATAATTCTAATTTTAATAATAAACATACTGCTAATATAGAAAAATTAAAAAAAAAGCGTTGTAAAACCCTTTTTAGTAATTTTCAATATTATTTCTTTGGAAAAATTATTAGTAAACATTTTTAAAAAATTCACAAAACTTAACAATATTTTGTTTTTCTATACCACATAAATATGTCATTTGATAAATCTAAAATAAAAAATGTAACAAATAAATAAATAAAATACGAAAAACATTACATACAAAAAACGAAAATGATTGTACCTGATAGAGAAAAGCTGTTGTGATTTACCAGAGTAGTAGTAGTAGGCTTTTACTAAATATATGTAATACAGAATAGTAGGCTTTTAGTGAATGATTAAAAGCAGTGAGGTCTAATAATGAAATTACATATATATCATTTTTAACAATAGACAACAACTTGAAGGTAAGCCAAATGTTTATCAGCTCAAAAGATTACAAAAAAAACCACCACAACAACAATAGCATTCACCATAAGTTCAAATAATATGCATATAACATAACTTAAGAAACATAACATTCATATATAACAGAACATAAGTAATAACATGACGCAAAATGATAAAATACATCATGTATTTTTAGAATAGTTAATAATAAAGGCTTGAAAACAACTAGACCTAAAGCAGTAACAGTTTGACACTAAACACTGCTGTGTAACCCTCTGCAGTAAGTACATGACATGGCAAGGTTGACAAATCTTGCTTTACACGTTTACCAAGTCACAGCACTTTAAAAACATAGAAATAAAATAATATAAACCAACTATAAACACAATATATATATATATATATATATATATATATATATATATATATATATATATATATATATATATATATATATATATATATTTAACCTTATATACACATGTTTAAACACATTTATAAAACAATTATATAACACATATTAACACATACACAAACAATAAAAAAACATTTTACATTATTATATTATTTTACATTATTATAAAAACACATTGATAAAACAACTATAAACACATATTACAATATACACATAATTATCAAAAAAGCAATGCAAACAATAAACATATATAAATTTAATTGTGCAAACACAAATCTTAAAAATGGCATAAGAAAATTTAAAAAGATTTAAAGTAAACAAAATATAAATATATACATACAATACTCTTTACCTTTTTCTTTTTTTTTCATAAGAACTGTAATCCTCATAACAAAAATTTAATCTTTACATACAATAACATGTGATATGTCAGTGTTGGCACAAAATTTTAATTTATTTTTCTAAATTTTCTAAAAAAGAGAAAAAACAGTTAATAGCATCACAGAAATTTCAAGGTAGTAATAACCAATTTTATTGAAATAGCATTAGTATAACTTTTTTGTTGCATAAAAGATAATTAGAACTTATCCATACCCCTTTATATCTTTTTTCTAAAAAATAGAAGATATGCTCAATAAAAACAAAACTGCTAGAAAAAAATAAAGCCTAAAGAAAAACTAAAACAAACAAAATGTAAACGATTTTAAAAATTAATAGGAGTGATCCGTTCTACTTTATTTCTAATAAAAATGTTATATATAAGTTGCTAAACTATTTTCTATACTTATTTCAATTATAATATGATCTCAACGATGATTATTTATTTTAATATGATTCTTTATGTAATATTTCTAAATGAATAAATATTAATTCAATTTCAAAGGGAAAAAGTTTTAACTTGCTCGATAGATCTTTCTTTTATGACTGTGTGCATTTTAAGAACGCGCTCTTTCAAGTTCGGAAAAGCCTAGTAACTAATTAAAACTGCTTTAAAAATAAAAGCAAAACGACATTGAACATTGACTGTAGCAATTATATTAAGATATTATAGAATACATACAATAATGAGGCTCAAAATTAAAATTCACCTTTTTTTCTTTAGTATTCATTTAATATTTGTATAGTATTCATATGAATACTATGTTACAAAAATAGTCTTCTTGTTTCAGTTTTTAAAAAAAAAATATTGAACTTTCTTTGTTTTTTCTGCTGACCCTTCAATTGTTATAAATCAAATCCATAAAACTTATAAACAAGCTCGTAAAAATGAGTAATCTTTGTGATCTATAATAAACATCACCAACATTTGAAAGTAAAAATAACAAAAAAAGGTTATGTTGAGCTTGTTGAGCTTTGTAAAAAATAGTTAAAATATAACAATAGATTGTTACACTTATAGAGTATGCATATATAAATAAATACTACATGTAGCTCAAATAATAGTATATAAACATTAAATGCAAGTAAACTTCAAAAAAAGTTTTTAAACCTCACTGGAAGTTTAAAAATTTTTTATTGCTGTTTTCATGATGAATGAAAACACTAATAAAAAAAAAGTATTGAAAAATTATGATTATTGCAATACTAAAATTTTTTATTATACAGATATATTTGTACATATTTATTTTATACTTTTTTTTTTTTGTTGTTGCAGCATTGGGTTTTATATTGAACCAACTTTAATTCAAACAACTGATCCAAATTCTAAGTTGCTAAGTGAAGTAAATGTTTTGTTATTGAGATTATTTTTTTTCTTTTAAATTAGTACTTTTTTTCTATTTTCACTAAATTGTTTTTAATTTAATTTGTATATAGGGGAAGGAGTGCACATTGAATCACATTTGTAATTTTTAATTACAATAATAAAAGATATAGTTATCTTTACATACTTGTCTTATGTAACTATTTTTTAAAATTCATGATTTTTACCTTCACCATTGGTTTAATTTGTTTCGAGTAAAATTGAGTTCAAAGTGGTCGTCAGAGATTAATTTAATGTACTATAACTAATGTAATACAATATCAGTGTACACATCTGGTAGGAGTAAAATGCATTCTATCACTGCCGCAAGTTATTTTTATTTAAACAGTTTAGAGAATTGAGAGAAAAATCTACAAGTTTTCAGTTTTTTTATTACTCAAAATTTATTAAAAATAAAGAGTTAAAAATATATAATTAATTACCTTTTTTTTTGGAGGGGGGGGTCTTTTTGTCTTTAATTTATTGTGTTTCTATTTTATTTACCTAATTAATCCCTTTCCTGTTGTGACTGTAATAATAGTTAAATCTCGATCAAATGTGCACTTTCTTTTCTTTATATAGTTTAATGGTTTAATAATTTATTCAATTATATATAATTTATACTTATATTTAATCATATATAATTTATTTAGTTTTTATTTTATTTATTCATTTTTGTGTATAAATCTTTGATTAGAATATATCATATATATATATATATATATATATATATATATATATATATATATATATATATATATATATATATATATATATATATATATATATATATATATATATATACAGTGCCTATTCTAGACCATTTTGGACAGCGCTGACCATATTTTAGATGCAATTTTTCCCTAAGCACATTTGCCTACACACTGCAAATTACCTTACAAAAAGGTGCATAGGGGGTACTGCTGCCCAAATTATTTTCCTAGAGTAGCCCCCCATATATATATATATATATATATATATTTTATATATTTATGTGTGTGTGTGTATATATATATGTATATATGTATATATATATATATATATATATATATATATATATATATATATATATATATATATATATATATATATATATTATATATATTATATATATTATATATATATTTATGTGTGTGTATATATATATATATATATATATATATATATATATATATATATATATATATATATATATATAAACATTTTAGGAAATCTTTGGGCCTGTGTGCACAGTATATGTTTATCCTTCTGAAGAGATTGATACCACATTAGATTTAGTGAGTTTTGATTTGTTTTTCTATGATTATGCTTATTTAAGCTTCTAAGCTAGTTAATTGGATTCTAAGCTAGTAAATTGGATTTTAGGTAAATTCTACGTCTCCTTATGGACTAACTGGATCTATATTCTCACAAGATAGGTAATACACTTCTGGCTACTTTTTAAAAGTATATTGTAATAGTTCTGTAAAAAGTTTTACAAAGTAGTCTAAGAAAAAAAAGAAGAAAAGATTATAGATAATACTTAATTATAAAGTTTATACAAATTTAAAATTGTTTAGAATGTTTATTGACCATGCCCGAAAAAGATTGCTTCATGCAGCAGGCAACTTATATATCAATGATCGTTGTACTGGATCAGTAGTAGCTCAGCAACCATTTGGTGGCGCCAGAGCTTCTGGTAGGATATTTGTTTACTAAATTTATTAAAGTTAAATTTTTAATAAGATAAAAAAAATAAGTATCAGCAGTTATTAATCATATAATCTTTTTTATAATAAAATATAATTTTTAAAAAAAAAAAAAAAAAAAAAAGTTGAGTTGATAATGGTATATACAAGGAATTCCAACTATCTTTTTTGTAAACCTTTCAAGACCTACTTTTCTTGTAAACTTATTTTTGTGTGTGTGTGTGTGGTTTTTGTCAGACTGTGCTCTGTGATACTTTATGATCTTATCTTGTTTTTTTATTGTTCAATAATTTTTTACTTTTTCATTGTTCAATAATTTGTTTCTTATTCATTATTTAATTTTTTGTTTGTTTTCTATACTTATTGGTTGTTTTCCATTATTAAAAAGTCTTTTTTTTTTTTTTTTCATCGTTCAGTTATTCTTGTTTCTCCTTCATTGTTCTTTAGTTTGTTTCCTTTTCGTTGTTCTTTGGTTTGTTTCTTTTCTAACATATTGTTTGTTTGTTTCTTTTCCATTTTTTAATAGTTTGTGTCTTTTTTTATCATTTAAAAATTTATAAATGTTTGAATGTTTCTTTGGTTATTCCTACGATTGGGAGTTACAATTTTTTTCATTCCTCAGTTCCAGTTTAGCTTCCGGTTTTAATACACTTAGAGTAATTCAAAAAGAGTGGATGAATTTAACAAATAAAAATGGTAAAAACAAAGCACTTCTAAGAAAATGGTAACAAATAACTGTTGACCTCTTCAAGCAAAAAAAGCATTATATGTTATATATCATATGTTTTATATATATTTATATATATTTATATATATTTATATATATTTTATATATATTTATATATATTATATGTTTTAAATTTTCTGATATTACTTTGTCTGATATTTGATAATAATACTGATAACTTCTGATCCTGGAACTGATATCAAGGTGAAGAATCAGTTTTCTTAAGCGATTACAAGAATCCTAAAAATGATAACGCTGGCAATGACCTTGTTGTAAATAGAATTATTCACAAATGGATAAATTTGCTTCTCAACCTGTTAAAAGAATCTATTAAAAGAACTGCAAAATCAACCTTTTTTTTTTTTTTTTTTTTTTTTAACATCTTCACTTCCAACAAGGCTGCAAGCAACCACTATAAGAGTTGGAAGTTACTGGAAGAGAAAAGACTAAATCTGTAGAGCAAGATAACGATTGACTGATGACTTAAAAGATTGCAAATTATATGAATCAGGAAAGCAAGATGAAGGAAGCGAATTCCAAAGAACTGATGTTCGAGGAAAAAAACTAGAAGAATAAGAGTTTTTGAAGCACTTAGGAACAGTCACAGAAAAAGGATGAGACTTAATTGAATGGCGAGTAACACGAGAATGAATTGTAGATGGCACAAGGGACACTAGCTCTTTAGAGCAGTGCCCATTATAGTATTTGTAGAAAAGAGAAAGAGAAGCAACATTACGACGATGTGACAAAGGTTGGAGATTGGCTGCCAGAGCAGGTCCAACTATGTTTACAATTCGTTTTTGCACCTTGTCTAAAAGAGAAAGAGCATCATTAGAAGATCCGCCCCAGATGTGGCAACAGTATTCCATACAGGGACGGATTTGAGATTTATAGAGATAGAGAATAGAATCTGGAGTAAGAAAGTGTCGAGCTCGATAAAGAGATGCAACCTTAGCAGATGCTAATTTTGCAATGGATTTGATATACGGTTTAAAAGAAAGATCAGAAGTAAGAGTTAATCCTAGAAGATGAATGGTAGATGACTCATCTAGTACATTACCATTCATAAATATAGGAAGATCTAAATTATTACGATAACGATTGGCCGAATAAAATTGAGTTTTATCGGAATTAAAGTTCACCAGCCACTGTGAGCCCCATGCTGTAGCAGAAGTGAGATCCTTTTCAAGCTCAGATACCCCCTCCAAGCAATCAGAGAGTGTAGGCTTCTTATCATGACAAGAGTAAATGGTAGTGTCGTCAGCGAATAATGCCACCTTAGATGTGAGAATATCTGGAAGATCGTTAATGTAAATTAAAAAGAGTTTAGGGCCAAGGATTGAACCTTGAGGAACCCCTGAAGTTACAGGATGTGAAGAAGAGTGTTGTCCATCGAGGACAACTTTTATAATACGATTGGAAAGAAAGGACTCAATAATCTTAAAGACGTTACCAGCTACACCATAAGAAGAAAGCTTATGGAGAAGACCAGCATGCCAAACTTTATCAAAAGCTTTAGAAATGTCAAGTGCGATAGCCTTAACCTCTCCACCACTATCTAATGCACGGTAAAACCTATCGGTTATTACTGTTAGCACATCAACTGTAGAACGAGAAGACCGAAATCCATATTGATGATCAGAAAGTAAGTTATTTGATTCAAGATGAGAGATTAAGTGTTTGTTGATTAAAGATTCAAAAACCTTGCATATGACAGGAAGAAGACTAATGGGACGGTAGTTAGATGAATCAGATCGCTCTCCGGAATTTTTGAAAATAGGGATAACAGATGCTGCTTTCCAGCATGATGGAAAACAAGACTCTGATAAGCACTTGTTAAATAGTTTAGAAAGTATGGATGAAAGCTCCGGAGAACACCTCTGCAAGACTACAACAGGAATGTTGTCAGGACCACAAGCTGTTGAAGAGTCTAAGCAGGAAATTACTTTAGATACAGAAGCTGAAGTGATGCGAATGTCAAGCAAGGGATCAACCTGTTTGACGGCTATGTCAGGTAAAACGCAACTAGTGGAATCAAGAGATGATATTGATGAAAAGTTCTTAGCAAACAATTCAGCTTTGTCTTTAGGTGAGGTGACAAAGTCTGAACCATACAAGAGAGAAGGAATAACAGATATGCCCTTATTATTGATACTGTTAAAGATTCTCCAGAAGTCTCGAGAGCCTAATTTTTGTGATGAGATACGAGATTTAATGACCTGGGAATAGCGAGCTTTGGCGTCAGACAAAACCTTTTTACAATGGTTTCTGGCGATAGTGAACAGATGTCTGTTTTCTGGAAAATTGTTTTGCTGATAGATATGGAAGTAACGGTTTCGATTAGAAATTGCTGCAGCGCAATGTGAGGAAAACCAAGGAGAAGAGTGAGGCTTGACCTGGAATCGTCGAGAGGGAATAAAAGATTCCATGCCAGCCTGAATCCACGAAGTTATGTAAGAAGCACATTTGTCAGCAGGAAGACGAAAGATTTCTACCCAAGGGCCATCACGAAGAAAATCACGGAAAGAGTCCCAGTCAGCTTTAAGGTAGTTGTATGTGGTACGATGATAGGGGGATTCTGATGAAGTAGAAGAATTTGATAATAGTTTTAGAGAGATCAAACCGTGATCAGAAGTACCTAAGGGTGAATGTGGAGAAATTGAGCACTGACTAGGATCCAAAACAAGACATAAGTCGAGTAGAGAAGGTAAATGATTAGGGTTGTCTGGAAAACGAGTTGGAAAGTTGACTATTTGAGTTAGAGATTGAGAAAGGCAAAAGTTGAGGGCCTTAACGCCAGCAGAGTCACTGACACTAGAGCCAAGCCAATCGGTGTGATGGGGATTAAAGTCACCAACAACGACGATATTGGCCGATGGATAAAGAGAGAGGGCTTGGTCAATTTGATCATAAATAACATCAAGAATAGTGCAATCTTGGGATGAAGGAGAGCGATATAGAACAAAGAGAAAGGCGATAGAGTGAAGTTGTGCTAAACGAAAGCACATAAATGAATAGTCTGTAGATTCAAACCTAGTTTCACGACAAATGGGTGAGTTCTTACGAATGTAGATGCCCAGGCCAAGCATGTGATTATTGGAGTCTTTACGAATTAAAGGAAGATAACCATCAACACTAAGATCACAAGATGGGACAGCCGAACTCAAATTAGTCTCACAAAGAGCAAGTAGGTCTGGTGAACTTTGCAAGAGATAAGACTCAACAGAAGAAAAGTTACTTCGAAGACCACGAATATTAGTAAATAATAGGTTTAGAGAACTTGGTGATGACAATGGTTTTTTGTGTTTTTTAGTTTTAGGTACTTTAGTCATTTTAAATTTATAAAGAACTTGACTCAAGTATAGATAGTACTCAGTACACTATTTAACAACTAAGCAATAGCCTCATTACTATTAATAAACCCTAAGCCGTAACAAAGGGCTCCAAATGCGGCCTCTGCAATGCACACCAAAAGTACAAACAGGGACACCATCCATGCGCAACATGGCACTGTTAGTACTCTGATATTTTTCGGCTGTTGATGGAATCAGCCTCTCTGAGAGCTACCACAGAGTTCGGGAAACCTGACTACCAGCCGGCCTCAGAACCATAAAACTGAGTTTTAGAGCTGTACCCTCATTAGGAGATAATAGAATGAGTTGCCCAGTCATAAAAATAGAGACACAAGCAATACCCACGCATTGAGTCAAGAAGATCCAGCGTTCAACATCCTAAACTGGAAACAATGTATTAAAAATACATCTGCGCCAGCCTAATAGATGAGGAAGGGGTGCGAGGCTGGTCAACAGATAGAATCTGTTTACCCCTTAGGAATAAACTTTAGGAATAAAATTGAAGAAAATTAATTTCATGAAATCAAAGTTTGCTTTGATTTGATTCTGTACATAGGTGTTTTGTGGATGCTTTTATATAAACATAACATCAATCCAGGAAAAAGATATTAATAGACTTGTGGGGGAAGAGGAAATATTGTGTTATACACCAGAAAATGATATTAGTATTAATAAATTAGTTTTTAATTCAGGTAGACTCTCATGGAAACAGTTTGTTAAAAACCAGAAAAAAAAATTTATTCAGTATGAAGCTTTGTGAATTTATTATTGATATAGTGTATTGTAGGCAAGGAAGTTGCTTACAAAATTGAACTTAAGAATCAATTTTATTGCAACAAAGATTTTGATACTGCTGTCTAGTTTAATAATTTTTTTTGTAAATGCAATCTATTTTAGTGAAGCTACACTGTGCAGTGAACGCCTTAGAGGTGCATAATAACTTAAAAAGAGTTTAGCGGTGTGAGATAAAAGTTCAAAAGAAAAGATGTCCAGTGGAAAACAGAGCTTTTAAGTAGAAAAATACTAAAAAATTAGACAGTCTTCATATAGATAACTGATATTTGATAATAAAGTTTTTAAGAACTTTTATGATTTATTGTAATTGCATATAATGCATAAGTTATTGGACAAATTTGAGTCTGTTTTTGAAATTTGTCCAATAAATTATGCATTATATGCAATAAATTATGCATTATATGCAATAAACAGCAAAACAGCAAAAAAAAACATGCTCAAATTGTGATTTTTTTGTAAGAATAAAGATGATTCTGAAAAATTTATTAATATGGGTAATTGTATCTGATCGTGGTATTTCTAAAGCTGCAGCAGTCAATCCAGCTATCTATAATAATGTTTAATTTCGTAAAATTTTATTAATATGGGTAATTGTAACCCACTATTTGTTACTTAGGCTGTAGCAACCAATACAGCTATTTATGTTTAGAAAAATAACTTTTTTCGTTCATTCACAAATTTTATAATGATTTTAACTTGGCAAGTTTTCATTACTCTAAATATTCTCTAAATTGGATAAATATGTTTATTACGTTGATCCAACCCACCTCAACCCATGCCTCAAGCATGACCGATTTATAATTTATTTTAAAAGTTTGGCATATAAATTTGCCAATCATGAGCAGTGAACCCCTGAAAAAAAAAAAAAAAGTAAGAATAAAGGAAAATAGCTTTTTGAACAAAGCATATTTTAGCAGTTGTCAAGACAAAAATAAAGATTAATAAAAGAATATTTAAAAATATACTAATACAATGACAAAAATAAGACAGGTAATGCACCCAAACAAAACATAGCAATAATAAAAATAAAAAATTTTTTACAAATTATCACCAAATAAAAGATTACCAAGCAAAAGATTGACTAAAAAAAATAAAAAGATTGCATACAACAGTGTAATACCTAAGAATGGAAAAATAAAAAGATTGCATACAACAGTGTAATACCTAAGAATGGAAAAATAAAAAGATTGCATACAACAGTGTAATACCTAAAAATGGAAAAATAAAAAGATTGCATACAACAGTGTAATACCTAAGAATGGAAAAATAAAAAGATTGCATACAACAGTGTAATACCTAAGAATGGAAAAATAAAAAGATTGCATACAACAGTGTAATACCTAAGAATGGAAAAATAAAAAGATTGCATACAACAGTGTAATACCTAAAAATGGAAAAATAAAAAGATTGCATACAACAGTGTAATACCTAAGAATGGAAAAATAAAAAGATTGCATACAACAGTGTAATACCTAAGAATGGAAAAATAAAAAGATTGCATACAACAGTGTAATACCTAAGAATGGAAAAATAAAAAGATTACATACAACAGTGTAATACCTATGAATGGAAAAAAAAGATTAATGCCAATGTTTAAAGGTAATTTTTTGTAGTGATTAAGTAATAAAGGAAATGCCTCAGAGTCGCGTCTGAGGAGATGCCTCAGAGTCGCGTCTACTATTACTGGCATTTCAATGAGAATCAGCACTAATAACTAGTTTATCCTGTCAGTTAAACGTCATCGCTACTTTTGCTTTACTCCACGACTTTACTTATGTCTATTATATTGATAAAGAATCCAACCCAATAAATGTGCTTCAAGCACAACCAATTTATAATCTAGCATATTTCTCCTTAGAAAGTTTGTTAGGGAGATTGGCAAGCTTCAACAGAGCAAGTCTTTATTAATTGTATCAAATTAAAACTAAAAGAAACTTTGATTTGCTTATAATTACTGTTAATAATACCACAAGACCCTAGTATTAACAGTAAAAAACCAAACAAAAAGTTAGCATTGTAATGTGTTTAATATACAAATTCAGATCTAAATCAAAGGTTTATTGCAATGCTCTGTATGTTCCTTGTTTTTGTTCCTTCCCTACAAAAACACCTGGAAAATGTTTTAGTTTGAATTTTTAGTTATATTTTTACTGCTTTATTATATTAAGAGGACATTGAAGTTTTGTTTCTTATTATTGCATTTTAATTTCAACCCATATTAACGTATATAAGATCTAACTACATAAAACTTCAATATAAATTATAAAACACAAAAAAGATAAGACTTTTTTTTTGCTTTGTGCTGGGTCACACGAATTAAACACTAGCCAGCTAGGTCAGTAAGTAGATACCTGCATGAACGGGTCTTTGCCCTGCATAATTAACTGACGACCATGTCGTCTTTGAAGATCAGAAGTGGGTACATTATGTATACCACATCAGGAATCTCCTGTAGCTAGGGCTGGAACAGTTACCAAAACAGACTCGTTTAACCTACACCCAGAAAAGAATTGATTTTAGTTTGGTGGGATGTGTGCAGTATAATGTACTGAGAACTGCTTTCTGCCAAATAAGCGCAACCGTAAAATAACGCACGGGGCACTACAAAGTTAACTTCAACCCTGACAAAGCTTGTCCTTGCATTGCAAAATGGGTGCAGCAAAAATTTTAGGAGCTTTGCTGGGAAGTGTTGCCTCATTTCCATTACTTGCCAGACATAGTGTGAACAGATTATCATTTGTTCCAATCAACAACTTGTGCAATTAAATATTTACCAACAAGGAGTCACTTCGACTTTAATTCTTTTATTCAAACCCTAAAATGATTTTTACCAACGGCATTCATTCTTCGTCTAATCTAAAAAAATTTTCTTATTTGTTGTAATCTAAAAACCTGACATTTTGTTCTTTATTATTTATTGTTGTAACTTTCTTTTATTAATTATGTTTTAAATTTATTATTTACTGATTTTAATTTGTTGAAATTTTTTTTTTCCAGTTGCTTTCTTTTATTTCTATTTAAACCGTAAAGCCTCACTTTTTTGATATACATTAGTTGATCTTGATGGTAGAAAAATTTACTTCATTAATGTAATACTTTTTTAATGCAACAAAAACCTAGTACATATCGTATAAAGTTAACTTAGAATATTAGAAAAAAGGCAATGAATCTTATAAAATTAAAAATTATTTTTATTTTGTTTTTTAGCCTATTATTCATTTTAAATTTGTTTTACAGGCACAAATGATAAAGCTGGTATGGCTACTTATTTGCAAAAATGGACGTCTCCTCAAGCTATTAAAGAAATGTGCGCTCCTTTGCCTTACTGGTCATACCCTTATATGTCTAAATGAGTAGAAATTTGTTTTTAAAATATATTAAGTGCGTGTATGTATATATGTATGTATATATATATATATATATATATATATATATATATATATATATATATATATATATATATATATATATATATATATATATATTTGTGTGTGTTAATTTATGTTAAAAATGGAATCAAATTTTTATTCGGAATTTATAATATTATAATCAGTTTTAATAATGTTTATATTCTAAATTTATCATCTTTATAGTTGTGTAGTAAGTTGTGAATTTTATCCCCTAACTTTATATACTATACAGATATAATAAGAAAGAGTTAAAAAAATATAAAAACTTTAATTTCTGAAATAATAGAAATAGTCAAAAGTTTTATATGCTTTTTGTAGATGTTTTAATATGTTCATATATCAAAAAATAGAATTGTCAACTATTGCGATTGTTAAATAATTTAAATATTTTATACGATAAATACACTATTTAAAATTTTCTTACGTTTTGAAAGGTTTTTTTACCGCCGTTTGTTGTTGTTTTGCATATTGTAATTTTTGAATCTTTTTTATTGTCAAATGTTGTATTTTTTCTGTAGAAGTATAGGTTTTGCTTTGACTTATGATGTTATCGGCTATAACAAAAAAGTTATAACAAAAAAAAAAATGGTTTTATTAGATAAACATAGATGGTAGATATATATTATTGGTAAAAAAAATTTTTAATCTTTAATGTAAATGAAAAAAATCTTTTAAAATTAAAATTTACATACGGCGGAAATATTGATATTCATTTAACAGATGTTTACTTTTTTTTTTTGTACGAAAGTATATAACGGTATTTGGTATGAAAGTTTATAACAAAGCATTTTCAAAAATTGCAGTGTTATAAACTTTTTTACCAAATTAATAACTTTGGTTATCAGTTACAATCATCATTTGATGCTATTTAGTTTGCTTCGGTTGTTAAGTACCTAAATCCCAACCATTAACTTTTGAAAGTGTAAGAAATTTTGCTCAACCTCTGTATTTTCTGATATTTTTTACTACTGTGATCAAAAGGTACGGTGAAATTGTTTATAAAATGTAAATTATTTGTTCTTCCAAAGTCATTTCATTCCCTTCAAAGTTTTCCCCGTCCGAAAAAACGCATTTTTTCCAATGCTTTTTTCCAATCCTCGAAACAGTCGGAAAGGTCTTTTTCTGGTATTGCCTTCAAGACCTGCTTCGATTCGGTTTTTTTCTCAATCGTGTCAAAACGGCGTCCCCGCCTTGGCCTTTTGAGTTAGCTGAATAGCCAGAAATCGGATGGGGCCAAATCGGTGGTTGGGGAATGATATTAGTCAAGTTTTTTTAGCAGTATGACATGATGCATTATCGTGATGAAGGAACCAACAGTTGTTCGCCCATCATTCCGGCCGTTTTAGACAAATAGCTTCACGCAACTGACGCATAACGCTTAAATAATTTTCTTTGTTGACAGTTTGGCCAGGCGGTAGGAATTCACAGTGCACCACACCATGATGATCAAAGAAAACTGTCAACATGACCTTGATTTTCGATCGACATTGCTGTAGTCTTTTCGGTCTTACTTTGCCTTTTGCACGATATTCCATGGATTTGTCGGTGGTTTTAGGGTTGTATGCGTAAATCCAAGTCTCGTCTCTAGTAATAATGCATTTCAAGTGGTCCTGATAGTCAGACAAAGTTTCACACACATCAACGCGACACTTTTTACCAAAAAAAATTGAGCGAGTTCGACACCAATTAAGACTTAACGCGTTTGAGAAACAAAACATTCTTCAAAATGGTTTGGGCTGAGCAAAATAATACTCCAACACTCTCAGCGAAATCTCTAATTACCAATCGATGATTTTCAAGCACCAAATCTTTGATTTTCTGGACGTGACCCTCGTCGGTAGACGTTGATGGTTGTCCAGAGCGCGGTTTGTCTTCAAAAAATTCTTCATTTTTGTATAAATGGTTCAAACCCCACATCTAGACAAGATTTGCGACGTCGGTTAGGAAGGAGGCGTAAACTTCCAATTAAATGCTTATCCGCGGTGCTCTGTGATAAGACCGTAAGGAATTCTTGAAGCACCTACAGTCGTTTGCAGTAAAATAGTAGTGCGCATTTTATTTTTCTATCAACAAACTTTGAACATCAAAATATATTTTTCTATTGTTTGTTTTTTATCGCTATTATTCATAAACTAAATGTTGCGATTATAATAGTATAAAAAGAATTTAAGAAAGATTAATTGCAGCACTGTATGGTTTTAAATTTCAATATTATCGATTGAAGGTCATTCGTATTTTTTTTTTCAGGCTGTGCAATAAAATAATAGTGAAAAATTAATTTTTGTGTAATAATTACTTATTAAATTCTAATTATTGTTAGTTCTTAATAATAAGCAATAAGTAATTAATTAATTTTGATATTAGATAAATTTATATATTTACTAAAATTTTGAAATTTTAGAGAAACATGGGGCGCTCTAAGCATTGTACTGAATAAGTTCGTAATTTAATTATATATCTTATAATCATGGTAAAACCTACAAACAAATACAAAAGCTGGTTGGATGCTCACCAACAATGATTTGTAATGCTTTAAAATGGAAACCCAAACCAGAAAAACGTGGAAATAAAAGATCAACTACCGCTATAGAAGATCGTCGAATTGTATCGTTACCGAAAAAGGAGCCATTTATTACTTCTAGAAAAATTAAAGAAAGGCTAGAATTAAATGTTAATACCTTAACTATTCGAAGACGATTAATACATGTCGATTTAAATGCAAGAACACCTAGAAAAGTGCCACTTTTAAGTAAAAGACATATCGAAAACTGTTTAAAATTTGCACGTATGCATGCTTCTTGGCCTAAAGAAAAATGACGAAATGTTTTGTGGACTGATGAAAACAAAGTTGAAATTGTTCGTAATACATGTTCGTAAACAGTATGTTGGAAGACCAACGGGTACAGCATATAAGCCACAATTTACATTAAAGACCGTCAAACATGGAGGTTTAAAAACAATGATATGGGGTTGTTTTTCTTACTATGGTGTTGGGCCGATACATCGCATAGAAGGTATCATGGATCGGTTTGTATATTTAAAAATACTTGAAGAGATCATGCTGCCTAATACTGAAGAAGAAATGCCGTTAAAATTTTTGTTTCAGAAGGATAATGATACCAAACATACAAGCAAGTTAGCCAAATCGTGGTTTAATGAGAACTAAATTGATATGATTGAGTGGCCAGCACAATCCCCCAACCTCGATCCGATTGAAAACTTGTGGATTGATGTTAAACAATTAGTTTCTGAAAAGGTTGTAATCAATTGTGGGACGTAGTACAGTCAGCATGGCAAAGTATATATGTCTAACAATTTCAGAAGCTTGTTAATTCCATTTTTTAAAAAGAGCACTTTACACAACCCTTCAGGGCTAGAACCAGCCGTGGCATTAAGGATTTATAACAAGATCACATTTTTTAGCATTACAATTAACTTTTTCTTTAAACTTTTTATGAGTAATATTATCGTTTTCAATACTCTACTGACAAGCTTGTGATTGTAAACAACTATCGCAGTTTTTTATAAGCTTTTTTAACAATGAAATTGGAGACGAATTGTTTCTACGCTTCATAACTGTACCAAACTTTGATGCAGTAAGTTTTTTATTTTGTTCTCGGAGCCGACGACACCGGGGTAGCCAGGGAGGCACGTGCCCCCTCCCCCCACTTTTTTTCTAAAGGACTTTTTTTTTTTTTTTCTCAGAGAAAAAACTAGATTTAGAGAACTTTTTTTAGAAACGATTCTTGTGTCCCCCCACTTCGAAACTTGTGTCGTCTGCCCTGGTTCTTCAACCTATTTTTGTTTTTGTATTGATCTTTAGTTTCTGATTTAATTTGAATTATTTTCTCAACATTGATTAACATTATGGTAAACTTTAATCTTTCTCAGTCAAATTAGTTTCAATTAAATGGTCCAGACAATATAGAAATTTTTTCATTATAACTAGCCCTAAATTTACTCGTACATTAATATTTCATAAAAATAATTTTGGTCAAATTTAATTTCAGTAATTAACATAGTCATTGTCATTTTTGTTTAATTTTTTAAAATAAAATATTTGGTTTAACTCTAACCTATTTTACATAGTTTTCTTTGAATAACTGATAATTAGCTATTTTAAGTTTAGCAGCTTTTCTTTCAAAATATCGTCTGATACTATATAAGTAAATATATATTTATGTATTTTCAGAAACAGAGATGTTGTCTTTTGACGATTAAGTTACATCTTTAGAGATTATTTTGTTTTCATCACTTATATTCCTCGTTTGTTGCATTTAGTGGAATCATGCTAGGGCTTTTAAAAAAGCCAGTACCTGCAGGAATATTTATAGAGTTTACTATATATATTTTTTCACTTATGTAGGCTTGTAAAATATACTTCAAATAAGCTTCTCTAACGAACTTTAACTACAACTACGTTGTAATATTTGTTCATATTACAATGCCGCTATTTTACTGCGGAGGTAAATTTAAAACCTGTATAGACACGTGTTTGTCACGATCCAGACGTAAACCAAAAACACGTTCATTTCTCAGGCGAGTTTAACGTGTGTTTTTTGATGTTAAATTTAAATATCGCGTGATTTTATCACTGGTTTCACGTTCTTTACGGAATTTTACTATAATATAATATTACGTTTCCGTAACGGTGAAACCCCTAATATTTTAACTGGTCTTTTTGGTAAATAGTAGTAGTTTCACGGAATGGAAAACACTCTTGGCACAGGTTTTTTGTTTTAGAAAGTTTTAAGGCAGGAACAGGAGAGGAAAGGAAAAAATAATCACGTGAGTATGCGTAGTACAACTTTTAATTTGTCCGAAAGAAAAACTGCGCATCTTAAGGTGAGTTTCCAATCATCCGTTTTTCAACGGGAAAAAGAAAGGGAACGTAAAAATAATCACGTGAGCATGCGCAGTTTTTTTTCGGACAAATAAAATCTTTTATTACGCATGCTTACGTAATTATTTTTTCCTTTCCTATCCCGTTCCCGTAGAAAAACGGATTAGTGGAATCTCGCCTTAAAGGTGAATTCCCGCAAAAAAACGAATGAGCCTTAACATGATTATTTTTTTGTTCCCTTTCCCGTTCCCGCAAAAAAAAACGGATGAGTGTAAACTCAACTTTAAGCACGGAACAAAAACAGCATAACTTTTTTCTGTGCTGTGCCGGCTGGGATATTAATAAAAAATGTCACTAATTGTTTTTTTACAGCCACTAATTGTTTTTTTATAGTTTTTATTAAATTTAAAAAATTTTAAAGTATTTCTGTCTGGATTAATTTTACAAATGATTAATTTTACAAATGACAAAGTTTTTATAATTAGTTTCAATACGAAGGATTTTTTTTTAGGAAATTGTATTATCGTTAGTTTTTTTTTCAAATGATTTTAAAAATACTCTTAGTTATCCTAGGGTTTAATAGCTTTTTTGATTTAACCAATTTTGAAACTTCAGGAAATAATATTAAAACAATTATACTTATAATTTTCTGATATGAATATATCGTAGGCTTTATCAGAGTTTAGAATCAGTAACAGGCCATCCCAGTTAACACTGAAAAAAAAGTTAAGAAAATATCTAACTGAAGAGCTATTGTTTTATTTTTTTTTTTTTTAATTTTTTAAGTTTTTTAATTTTTTTTTTTTTGAAATCACCTCTATTTTATTTTTGTGCAATAATTTATATGAGGATATCTGTTTTAAAATTCCTAATTTTATATTTATATTTAAGGTGTCATTGGTGATAATTTAAAGGGTCTCTTTTTCTAGTTATGCGCGTATGTTTAATGATGACTGGAGCAGGGCTGCCGAGGTCTGTAGGTTTAATGATGACTGGAGTATAACTGTTTTTAAAAATTATATTAAAAAATTGTATAACGTTTCTACTTGTGTTATAATTCAAAATATTTAAGTTCAAGTCACCAACCAGATAAACAGTTTTGAGGTTATATTAACGAGTTCCATGCACAAAGTGACATAATCATTAGTGGCTATACTTAAATCTGACTTAAACCCTGACCCTTACCGACTTGCCCGATGTCCTAATTTTATGAATCAATTTATAGTTTGGTAAATAGAAATTGTAATTGTTCTCGAAATTTTTGTTATCATTTAATTTGGTAACACTAATTTTATCATTTTTTTTTATCATCCGATTTCATTGATTTAAGTTGAAATTTTTGATTGCCAAACCTTATCCAGCCATGAATAACTATTTCTATTTTTAATATTCGATTTTTGATATAAGTTCGGCACATAAATTTTAAATCAGCTGGGCACATACTTTTTACACAAGACGATTCTTTACAAGGGATTTTTAATTCAAAAGAAAAATATTTATAAAAGAGTTAAATACGATAGTTTTTAAGCAAATATAAAGTCTGACATTTTTTATTATTATTTGCTCATCCATGTGTCCTAAAGTAGATCAATTAGCAACAAGAGGTAAAAATTAAGCATGTGATTTATATTCATATAAGAATAGATTCCGGAAATATATTTAGATCTACTCTATAAAATAAAATAAAATAAGATCAGGTAAATTTTCTTTCTAGAAATAACTGAATTTTTCTTTCTGGAAATAACTGAAAACTTTTTTTTATAAAATTACCATAATGAGCTACTTTCCAACAATTATACAAGCCCAACCCAATGTGCCAGTACCAAAAGTTACACTTTTTTTAATGATCATAATAAAGGCTTTACGGGTTTTAGACTCAGCGTTTAACATGTGATTGACATTCATATAAGAATAGATAATACTGGTTAGAAACCTCTTCTAAATGGAATTTTTGGTATGTCTTGCTTCTCTGGAGAGTAGCAATTTCCGCGGTTGTTGTAAAGCTTGCAAAAATCGAGATTGTAAAGCAAGATTCTGCTCAAAAATCACCTGTCTAAGATTTAAGATTCAGTGTTTTATTATCTACAAACTTTATGCTGCAAACAAAGCAGCAAGTTAGGACAAACTCTTCATAAGCGTTTATTCGTATAGCATTTTTGGCCCGCTGCTAGAGCGCATTTTCCAAATGGCTATTCCGTGGGTATAAAAGGATTTTTTTTAAACAACCAAAAAAGAGGCATGGAAGAGGGAGATAAATTGTCAACATAAAGTTTAAACCAATGTGCTATTATGTCTGATTGTTAATTTTTACAGGTTCTTGTTTACAAAATCCTATGATCTTCAATAAGACTTTTGATATGATCTTGACAAAAAATTATAAGGTTAGCGGACAATTAGTATCCGCATTCTATTTTATCTTATAACAAATCTTTACTTGTAGTTTTTATTATGCTTTATATTTTTTCATAAATTTTTTTTTTTTGTTTTATTACACTTAAAGAAGTATAACAGAAACGCACCAACTCTCAATGAAAAATATTATTTTTAATTATTTTATTCTACAGTAATATCTAAAAACTGTTTGATAAAAAATGAAATGAATGTCTAAATGCTTTAACAAAAACAGGTAATTTAATTTATCCTAATCTGGCTAGTTGCCTAATAGAGGCCACATACCAAGTCCACGAAGATACATTCAGCTCTCTAAAGAGCATAATTAACTGCTTCGATGGACCGAGAGTAAGTGAGTTTAAGAAAGAACGAAGTAAATTAAAGTGTTAAGTCAGAAGAAGCAAGTTAGAAATAAAGAAAGCGGATAGATATTGGACTAGATGTTAGGATGTGCAATTTAAACAATAACCAATTACGTTACATAACGTTTTATTTGGTTACAGTTTTAACAAAAATAAGTTTTTCACTAGGCAACTACAAAGCTGATTAACTTAAGGATTGTTTATAAATTATGAGACGCAACTTTTCAAAGAATTAAAACCCACAAACAATAGCTATTAAATGCTAATGATTATTAGTAATATAATTGTTTTGTTTTCAAAAAGTAGTGTTACGTAATTTAGGAATAATCCCTATCAGTCCACGCACACAACAATAGTTTTACGTAACGTAGTTTCTATATTTATATTTTTTTAACGGAATAAACCGTTAATTTTACCTAATTTTAATTAATATCATAAACTTGAACTAGTAAAAACCATGTTTTATTTTCACATTTTTTACGCCATGTGTTATTTTACTTATCCACAATATATACACATATTTCACAATGTAATAAAATATGTTTGCGTAGAAACTTTTAAATATATTTACGATTATCCCGATTTTATTATTTACGGATGACGCCGATAATGCTACTAATATTAACTTAGTAATATTAACATTATGTAATAACACGTTATATTTTAAATAACTAACTTTGAATTTTTTTCACGCTTTTTGGAAAATCTTTTTAACAGTTTTCTTTATAACTTTTTTTCTATATATCTCTTTTTGTTTAAAAAAAAAAATCTACGAATATCTTTATAACATAATTTATTTTCAAACGATAATTATAATTATCCTTTATCTGTACTTTTTTTTTTCTTATTACACTCATAATATATTACAACCGTTTTATAAAAATAATATGGGAACGTTTTAAACATATATTAAGAAAATTGATTAAAAAATATTTTACACCCTACCCAAAAAAATTAGTCACATTTTTATTAAAATGAAAAACCTCCCCTATATTTTGAATTCGAAAAGAAGACTTATTTTATGTCTTTCAAAATTTATATTTAAAGCTAATAGCAAAAAACGACTAAAGAAAGTAAAAGAATTGCAATATTTAGTATAAACACTAAATCAACAAATTAAAAAAATTAACGCTGTATGATGAGAAATGAAAACTATAGTTTGAAATGGAAACTATAAATTTGGAATCAAATAGATAAAATTTATTGCCGTAGACATATTAATTATTTGTCGGTGTTTCCATATGCAAATCCGCATAAGGTGGTGGCGGGCTATCTGGATTACTACCGCACTTATTACTCGGATAATTTTCAGAATCACTGAACATTGGATTGACTACCTTCATATCCCCTGGCTGAAATATATAAAATATTAAAAATTTATTTTGCATTTAAAAATAAGATGTCATACATTTAATATATCAATTGGCTTAAAGTTAAAAGTACTTAAGTCAAAAAATGTATGTTTTTAGAAGATCTACTTTGATCAGAGAATATAACTATTCAAGTTAACTATTTAAAATGACTGATCAAAATAACTTTTCTCAAACCTTTTGTCTAATGTTTACAAAACAAAACAAGATTAACAAAATTTGGCCTACCGGAGCAAGTCCGGGACATTCATAAACAGTATTTTCATCATCTTCATCATCAGTGTTGTTTGCATTATTATCTTGATTTTCACTGGAGTTTCTAAATACATAATTTATTATCAATAAAACTGACAAAAATTTAAATCAATATAAGTCATTCCTTGAATATTTCCCAGGATGCAATAAAAACATAAAAGAATTTTTTTTATTAATAAAATGTATATATTTTTCTAAATTTGTTAGTTTTAACTGCTACATAATGATTATAAAGTGCTTTTAAAAATCGCTTTTGAACGAATTAATTATAATAACTTTCATAATCATTATTATGGACTCGTTTAATATCTTTTGATGTTGTAAAAAATATTGTAAAAAAAGTTTTTAATTGATTTAAATTATTGAACTCAAGTTTTTGAATTAAAAGTAATAGTTCATGTATGAACAGATTTTTAGAACAACATTTTAAAGTATAGGTTTTTAAAGGTGATCTTTGTAACTTTATGAAGCTCAGCAACCTGGAGCTTGATTGCTAATTTTATTTCCATAGTAGCTATCATCAGAAATCAAAATCATCATCAAGATATTCATCATTATGATTTTCATTATTAATGTCAATAATTTTCTTCAAATTTATATGAACTAGTGCTAAATGTAATGCACTAATCTTGTATATGTAATCACAAATCAAAAATGTTGGTATTCTGCATGTCAGTCATTGCCAAATGTAAATAATATAGTTTACCTTGTTGAGCAAACTATATTATTTACATTAAATATTAGGGGTGCACCAATGAACCAGCATCGACCATTTAGCTGATGCATCAGCATCAGCTTTGGTAACCAGCAGCCAATGCATTAAAGTATCAGTTTTTTTATTTTTGTGTTTTTATATTTTATGCAAAAATATAAGTATCCATAAACAAAAATGCATGTATAAGCCTAAGTTATTATATAGGCTTATCTGCAACCATTAAACCTTTAAATATCTCTTGAACAAATTTTTATCAAGGGCTCTCTACACTTTTAGTGCCTTTTAATAATTTATTTATACATATATATAGAATATAAAGTTTGTATATATATAGAAAACCCGAGTAGCAAATAATAATGCACCAATATTATTAATTTACTTTACATACTGTAAACAATATTGTGGCAATATTGTTTGCTACTTGGGATATTAAAATTGACCATTAACATTATATTTGAAAAAAATCCTAATTTACCTATTAGTAAAAAAGAAAAGAGTACAAATTCACATTTAGGGCCAATGAGGATGCATCAGTATCAGTATCATTTCGGAAAAAAGGATACGTACTTAAACGATACTTTTTTTTTTTAACGAAATCGGCGATTTTTTTACAGAAAATTGTTTTTTGTTTTGGCAAATATTGTATATTTTAAGGGAAATATTGTTACGTATTGTTTTTTCCGAAATGAACATTATTTTTGAAATTTTTATATAATTTCAGTTCATTTGAGTACCAGGTTGACATAATTTTTAAAAACTTTTTTTTGAAAATATTAGGGACCCATTAAATATTCGAGGGTCTTGAGGGACCCTTTAAAATATTTTTTATTAAAAAAAAATTTAAACTTAGTGTTTTTGTATTAGATAGAACACATTTAGGGGGTGAGAGAAGATTATTTTTGAAAAAGTTGTTTTTTGGGACACCCTAATATATATATATAAATGTATATATATATATAAATATATATATATATATATATATATATATATATATATATATATATATATATATATATATATATATATATATATATATATATGTATATATATTTGAAATCAATTCTAATTTACTTTTTAGGAAAAAAAAGAAGAGTATAAATTCAAATTTAGGGCTGATTTTGATGCAATGATATCAGCCTGTACCAATCCGCATAGGCCAAAAGTAGATATCATTACCCTTGGTAAAGATTTGAAATTAAAGTCTTACGATTCTTTTAATGAAGATATATTTAAAATAAAGATATATTCAATTATTCAAAATAATGGTTTTCATTGAATGATTTATCTAATAAAATGAAGATTTTATTAGAGGATATTTATAAATCATTTAATGAAAACCATTAGTCAAATATTCATTCATACCTACACTAAATTTGGATCCATTTTTGATCAGAAACAATGAAAAAAATTTTATTTAACAAATAATTTCAACAATATATATATATATATATATATATATATATATATATATATATATATATATATATATATATATATATATATATATATATATATATATATATATATATATATGATTTGTGCGACCTAAGGTGTTAAGATGTGTTAAGAATTATATATATTATTTAGTTTTTTTTGATTTCTTAATTTTTTGATTGCTTCTATCTTTTTGAATTTTGTTTAAGTTCACTGTTTTATACTCAACTGCATTAGTTTATTAAGCACAACAAAAATTACTTGTGAAATGGGAATGAAGTTAGCCAAGCACAACGAAATTTACTATTTTAATAACTTTAATTCCATTTTTTTCTTAATTTTAATTAATTTTTTTCAAACACTAATATACAGATAAAATACAGAAATACAGAAAAAACAAACTGTCGTTACATTAACCCATACTATTACAGTATGTGTGTACTAGTATGTGTCTCACAATGTGTTAATATATATATTAATATATATTTAATTTTTTTAATAGTCAAATTATATACACAAAATAAAGCTTTTTTTTTCCACAATGAGTATTTCAGTTATCATAACCATTAATAAAATGAATAACCACAACAATGCAACATTGCTCAAGATATATAAAGATGTTTTGATCAATTTGATTCAAGCCTCCTTAACAAGTGCACTTATGGAGATAAGGTCAGTTATGAAACTTTTTAGACCATTTAAGGTTAGACATTTAAGTTAGACCATGGAACACATTTATCAGAGTATACCATAAATTCAACATCAGTTAACAACTTTATTGGTTATTTGTGAAATTATTTATACCGATTTCTGAATAAACAAACTCATCATTATACTGCTACTTTATTATGATATCCTTTGTGAAGTTTCATGCCCATAATTTACAGTATAAGATACCTTTATTAAAAGCTACATTCTTTAGAAACTTAAACACAACTTTTAAAACTTAAAACTTAATTTCACAAATATTAAACACAAATTCACAATAGGATTTTCTATAGTCTTATGCAATGGAATTTTAGGAATTTTGGCAAACAAAAGTTAAAATAGGAAAAAAATCATTGCATAATCACTAAAAAAAATTACAATAGTATAAAATAAAGCAAAAATTAAAGTCTAAAAGTTAAACATACTTGCTAAGTTGCTGCATTTGTTTTTTTTGATGAATATAATGAAACATCTTTGCATTTTCAGCTAAAGTTTCATCACCTGGACTCTAAAAATAAGACTTTTATGTAATCAAAATTCAAAATAAAAACAACCTTTGGAACAAGTATATTTTCTTAAAAAATATTGCAGGTTCTAAAAGGCTGCCTTTTAAAAACAAAGAAATTGACATCCCAAAAATTTGTTTAACTAAAACAATGTTCTCCAAATTGATGATTTTTTTTTTAAAAATATCAAAACAATATTTTCCATCTAATTTTAAACAAATAAAACTTATAACCTGCTTTTATTGAGTTTTTATTGAACATATATCAAAGATTGACTAATTTTAGCAGAGATTTGGATTCATAAATTAGCAATAAGTTTTAGCAAGAGCCTTTTAATAATAATAATTTTTTAAATCAGATTTCATGATACAAATGAAATTAAGTTCATAAGAACTGATTCAAATACACAATCTTGATTTTAAAATTAATTTAAAATATATATATATATATATATATATATATATATATATATATATATATATATATATATATATATATATATTAAAAAACAATACAATTTTGATGGCAAATTTTTTAGGTTTAAAAACACAGCGAATTAGTACTTTCTCAAAACATTACTATCAATTTAAAACACCTTATTTATATAGAAAAAAGTAATTGGATACCGTTTTCTTTCTTTTTAAATAACAACCTTTCAGAGAGGCAAAGACGGTGCAAAAGTGTACTTTCACAACTTCTTTTAATATAATTTATAAATATTTATTTTAAACTCATTATTCACTTTAAATCAATACTTTCTTTAGTTGGTTATAATTTTCTTTTTTCACGTTTTTATAGTCTGAACCAGAAGCCATTTTAGTTCCACTATCATTACCGAATCTGAATAAAAATTATTTTAGTATAAAAATTCACAATGTACAATAACTATTTTTGATAACAGTAATAAAAGCCCATACTTGAACCAGCAATAACCTGTCAAGACAATAGCAGCAACTCCAGCCACACAACAACAAACAATCAAGACTTAAAAAATAAAGATTTAATTAATTACTAACTAGAAGTATGAAGCAGCATATATTTATAAACTTTCATTGTATAAGAAGAATTAAAAAATTCACCTATAAATGAACTTGAATTCAGTTTATGTAAAAATGTATTTTCATTAGTAACTTCTATAACATGAATGTGATAGGCTGGGCTACTATGTGTTTTGGTTCTATTTTTGTCAGTTTTATTGATAATACTGGGTTCAAGAAAAACATCCTGTGGGTTAACACTTTGAACAAGTTCTTCCTCTTTAGAAACATTGTTGTCTTCAGTTACTGAAGCAATAGCAATATTATCAGATTGATGCACCTTATTTTTCTCATTCAATTCAGAAGTCCTTGTCTCTAGTTGATAGGCATTTGGAACAATCAGATGGTTATGCAATTCTGGCTCGGTACTTTTATTATCAATTACCAGTTTAGCTTCCTCAAAATGATCTAAACTTTTTAAATTACTATATGACGGTGCTGTTGTTTTTCTTGGAGTGACTCTCCTTTTAAATTTAGGAGAGTTTCGGCCGATGAAATCCTTTTTATACTTTGTTTTTACTTCACTAAAATATTGATGCTTTCCAGAATTCCGTATTATGGCTTTTTTTTTCATAAGATTCTTATTAAATTCACTTATATATTCGTTATATTCGCGAATATCATCCTTATTATTTTCATTACTATATATATCATTATTTTGCATCACTAGCATTGACAACTCCGGATCATATTCTGTTTGTTGATCGTATTCAGCATAGTTGAGTAGAGCGACTAAAGTTAAAAACAAATCCATAAATGTTGAGAACAAAAATATTACTTTTAAATTAATCATATTGATATAAAATACTTTCCATATTCTAAATTAATTTATCTTTCGTTTTGTCATTATATTTTTATAAATAATTATGACAAAAAAAATAATTAAGTATAGTATATAAGATAAAATATCAGTTAGATTTTTATAGTACCTTTTGGACAAGCCAAAAAAAAGGCAATGCCTAACCAAAAAAACATAATCTAATTAATTTATATAGTCATCATAAGGAATCTTCATTTAACACGACAGGTTAAAAGCAAAACCAGTTTTTGCTTTGTCTGTATATTAGTAAATTTATATCAATATTCGTCAAGTTGTTTATTTTTATGAGCCACGTGGTTTATGTATAAAGTTTTGATTGGTTTTTACGCTGTTTCAGCTGTTTCACGTCTCAGATGTTTTATGTTTTAAAAATTAATGAGTGTTCCATAATTTTAACTAATTGTTTTGCTGAGGTCAAAAATAAATGAGATCCAAAAGATTTTCTATAAACATTACCGGTTAAAAACTTACAAATAGAAACAAAGAAAATATAAGTTTTTCATCGGAACCGCAAAAGCAAAAAAAAAAATCTTTATAATTTATCACTATAAACATGAGTTTTTATTTTGAAAGTTTAATATTTACAAAATAGTTTCATTTTTTTTACACATTTTTTATTTTCAATCACAAATTCTTGAGGATTAATTAGTTTCATTAAACGTAATCAATCCCAAGGTTGTTTGAAATCTAAAAACCATCCCAGAATTCCGAAAGTAATAATTTGTTTTTTTCTTCGTTTTTTTTTTTTTTTTATTAATCAAATAAATAGAAAACATAATCGAGAATCAAATATTTTTACATATTATATTAGCTATAATAGCTAATTATTGACAAAACGCGAATAACATAACTCACATTTAACACTTAATATTTTGAATTATATACTAAATCTATAATCTTTTATTTATTTTTACTTTATTTATTCAAACTGGAAAATTCTTTAAAACTAAAGAAGATTGACTACTACTTTAAAAAAATAGACTTTAAGACATATAGTGGTAGTTTATGATTTTTTGATTGCAGCAAGCAACGTACATGTTGACGCCGTATGGTGAGTATCAAAACTCTTTAAAAAAAAACGAAGGGGAGGCAGGGAATATAACTATCTATATTTGTTGTTATTTAGTCAATCTTAAGATATAAATAGTAGTAAACAACACGATGAGCAACAAATATTCTCTTTTTCAAAGACAACATAAAAAGGGATGGAGATCTGTTTATATTTGTTGCTATTTAACTAATATTTTATTCATTAATTTCACATTTGATTTTTTTTTCAAATTTTTTATCATTATGTAATAATCTTTTTAATAATTGTTTTTTTAATATATGTATATCTACAACTGTTTTTTTAATGTATGTGTAATTAATAAATTATTATTAACACGTGTAATAATAATTTATTAACTGCATATGTAATTTATCTTTTTTAATGCGTTTATGTCTTATGTTACAATGGACTGTACCCGGACAGTCTGAACTGTTTGGTTTACTACATTTTGCTTCATTTGGTGCAGCTTCAATGAGTTTTTGTTGATCCAATTTAATTTTGCAATACTCGTTGCGCTCTAATTAATTAGTAGTTGGCACAAATAATTATGCCGTTGTAAATCTAAAATTCGATGCATGCTGGCCACGTGTTTATCCAACGAATCGTTTTCCTTATTTATACTAAATTTATACTATCGAAGAAAATTATTCCTTATTTATATCAAATTTATACTATCGAAGAAAATTATTCCTTATTTATATTAAATTTATACTATCGAAGAAAATTATTCCTTATTTATACTAAATTTATACTATCGAAGAAAACTTCAAATAATCACGGATACAATCTTAAGTGCTGATTTTGAATTCAATTTTTGGATCGCCACGTCTATTGCTATTACTGAGTAAACAAAACGTTACGGTTGGTCCTAAGTTAGGATCATATTGGCTAATGATTAGCTGCTCATTGGTCCAACGTTGGTATCAGCAATTTTAAACCCCTAATTAATTATTCAGTATTTCTGAAAAAAACGCTTCCTTGTTGTTGTTGTTTTTTTTGAAAAAAAAAGCATGTTACATATTATTCATATATATATATATATATATATATATATATATATATATATATATATATATATATATATATATATATATATATATATATATATATATATATATATATATATATATATATATATATATATATATATATATATATATACATATATATATATATATATATATATATATATATATATATATATATATATATATATATATATATATATATATATATTCATGTGTTTGTAGGTATTATTAATTTTATCCGTTATAATTATACTGTATTGCATGAATTTTATTTATAAAAAATGGATTTGCAGTTTGCTTTTGCTTTTTTATAAATGCATGTCATTTAAAGATTCTTAATAAAACTTTTATACTTTCGTCATTAAAAATATATATATATATATATTCATAATATATATACATATATTCATAATTTGATATTTGTTAAAATAAAATTAAAATGTTAAATTGATTGATTTCAAAACCATGGATTTAATATTTGGTTTTTGACGTTGTAGGAACAATAATCATGTCACTATTGGAAACATTTTTATATTTCGCAAATGTATTATTTAGATTCTTTTTATAGAATATTTTACTCGTTAAAAGATCCGTCTCGATAAAAAAATAACTTAGCTGCGCTTTTAAAAACCAAAGGTTTTGTGCTACATTATAATAATAACATTATAAACTTTTATTTATACTTTTTTACATCAAATAATTTTTCATGCAGACATTACATAAAATTTTTTATTCATGACTTTTATTGTTTAGTTAATAAGGTTTTAAAAACTTGTTTTTCTTTTCAATATTAGGCATAGTATAACAGTTTTTATAAATAAACATTACAAACTCTTTAAGTCTTTTTTCAAAACAGCTAATATTCAAATATTATTATACTTATTGCAATGAAAAATTGCAAGGACAAATGAAAAACACCAGTGAAATTGCAAAATCAAAGGAAACGCAGGGAAAAGTGCGATATCTATAAATCAAATTATAACAATCAAACTTATAAAAATAAAATTTACATTTTTTATCACTGTCCTTTATATATTTAAAAAAACATTGGATGAGTGTAAAAGAAAAAAATGCATAATATGAAATCAAATATATATATATATATATATATATATATATATATATATATATATATATATATATATATATATATATATATATAAACGTATGATTAAATCTAAACACACAGAACCAATGATATCTTGTTAGATTATTTTCAAAACATTAAACAAAGAAAAAAAAACCTAAGGAGTTATAATAAATTTGTTTAAAAAATGACTTTTAAAATGAAACTAATTAAAGAAATCATAAACGATTATTTGTTTTAACTTTAAAACATACAAAAAAAAAAAAAAAAAAAACTATTCTAAGCAATTAAAGAGAGACTAAAATTGACCAAAAATTGCATGGTTTTATTAAGGAGCCTAAAGTAATAAGTTAATAAAAATTTAAATAGAAATGCGTTTTAGAGATAATCCCAAAATTAAGAATAACGTGCTATAAATATATTCTTAGCGACTGAAATACTCGACCAGTATTTTTGTAAATATTGGCCATAATTTATAGCATTAAAAATAGAAACATCTTAATTAACCTTTAATTTGCACTTAACCTTTAATAAAATTACTATTAGGGTAGATTAGGGTGTAATGAGCACTTCACGCGAAAATCGGAATATTTTTTTAAAACAATTATGTTTGATTCAAAATTTTTGCGAATAAACAGTTTTAAAGGATCACTACTTATGACCACTTAGGTATTTAGACACCCGAAATTTTTATTTAAAAACACAGAGGTTTTAAAAAAGTGCTTATATTACCCAGACCAGATAATATCAGCACTTTAAACTAGATCAAAAAATAATAACACTAATTAAGTAAAGAAATATCAATCTAAAAATTAGAACGAATTTGTAGAATATAAAGTTTCGTTACTAATAAAACTCAGTGGCGGAGTAAGACTTCTTGGGACACGGGGCTATTTTTGTTTTTGGTGACCTTTTTATGGGCCAGAACCTAAAATGACTTAAAAAAAAAAGAAGTCTCTAAATTATTTGAGGGGCCCCTAAATTTGCGGGGCCTGGGGCTATATTCCCCCCTAGCCCCTTTGATCCGGCACTGATAAAACTTATCATTAAAAGATTCACTTTTTATTGAAACAATACTACTATGTTTTACGCAAAAAAAAAAAAAAAAAAATAGTTTTTAATTTTATTAACTCAAACTTTTAATTGATAATTACAAATTTTTTAAAACTAAATTGCTGATAGTTATTTAGTATTATTGTAATATTAAAATTTTTTATTATGTCTTGCTTTTATTCAAAAAGCAATGAAAAAATTTGCAGTTTTAGGGCTTTAAACAAGGCAATTTTACTAAAAAACATTGAATAATTTGAACATGCTCACATAAAAAAATAAATGCTCCTACACTTTCTTTTTCAAACAAAAATAAAACGGATTTTTAGCTAACATGTTTTTCTTAATGATAAAATTAAATATCTACATTTCAATATCAAAACTTCGCGCCACAGATTCTTTCATGTGCAGTGATAATATTTTAACAAAACAAAAAATAGAATAGCATTATATCATGATTAGATGAGAGCCGCTAAATACTACATATAAATTGATGATAATTATACTGTTTTCTGTTAACAACACATTAAGTCGATTCAAAAAATAAAAAGCAACTTAAATTTCATTACTCACATCCTGGAAATTTATTTGCTATGCTCATTTTACCCTTTTTTTTATCGTAATTGGTATTTTATTTGGTATTAATTTTAATTTATTTGGTATGCTCATTTTATTAATGCTCACATTACCCGAATCTTGCCGTTAAGTTATGAATTTAAAGAAAAAAGTTATTTGAGGATTAATTTTTTTAGGCGTTATGATGTTGCATGAGTGAGACGTTTTTTAATTAAAATAGAAAAAGAAAAAAATACCAATGAAAAATTAATCGCAAATAAGCTGGACAAACATAAAAAACCATTTTAAAAGCAGCGCCAGCACAACATAAAATAAATATAACATTTCAACAATCATTTTTAAAAGAACTTTCAGGGCCGACGACATAGGTTTCGAAGTGTGAAGGGGGGGGGGGTGATACAATCGTCAATTATTAAAAAAAGTCTTCTATATCTAGAATTTTCATTAAAAAAAAAATTACTTTAGAAAAAAAGTGGAGGGAGGGGGGAGCATGTGCACCCTTTCAACCCCCTTCCGTGTCATCAGCCCTGTTTTAAAAATTTGTGGAGTGTTTGCCAGATTCAGATTTTGAAAAGAATCTGTAATCGTAAGTTAATAAAGTTTTTACACATTTAACCTTACTTAAACTAAGATTTAAATTAAGAACAGCAACGTTTCCATCCGCCATTACTTTTAGATTTTTTAATAACAGATTTAATAGTTTTAAACAGAAACATACCTTGTTCAATTTAAACACCAAACATTATTGTGGTTAAAAAAATACATACAAATACCAAAGTCAAAAATAATTGAAAAGTGAAAATTTTTAATATGTATTGTTACATGTTTTGCTATATTTTTTATTTGAAGGAGGACTTAGAGTTACAGATCTCACAAGCATGAGTTACAGATCTCACAAGCATGAGTTACAGATTTCATAAGCATGAGTTACAGATCTCACAAGCATGAAGGTGTTTATTCACTTGATGCACAACTTGAAGGTGATGAATATAGAATTTTTCTAGAAGTACTGCTCTTATAATCAAAATATAATGACGAGTTAAGGAAACATTTGGAAAACATTATTTCTAAAAGTAAAAGTCTATGTGCTGCACGGCATGTATCTGGAAGTCATGGTAGAGACTTTTTAGTTACATTTATCTTAAAAACAATTACATCATTCATGTTATTTCAAAAATGACAAAGAAAAATATTTCAGATGGAGTAAGAAAAATTGGGTTTTATTCCGTTAAAATTGACACAACACAAGACATAACAACAAAGGGTTAGTTATTCCTTATTGCGAGAGATATAATTATAAAACTGTTTTTTATAACTATTATTATGTCATTGCTATTTTGTGTAACTAAACCTACAAATAATTCAGCTAACATAACCTTGAAAATTTAATAGTTTTTTTGTTTTTATTACACTTTTGTTTCAGATAACCTTGTTGAAAATTTCAAGAGAAGCTTGAAAAAAAATAATTGTTCGTAGAAATTCTAAAATCGCAGATTTTATACTTGCTTATATAATAAAAAGATGAAATAAAGATTTTTTTCTGAGGGTTGTAGCAATCTTTTTGAATTCGTACTTGTAAAGCAAGTCAAAAATTATTTTAAAAAAGCTGAATCAAGTTAAATAAGTGACATTTTTCTTGAATTAAAAAAATAAACTTTAATCTGAAAAAAGTTTTACTTTTTTTATTGAAAGTGATTGGCGTCTACTGAAAAAAGTAATTTAAAAAAATTATTTTTATTGGAATTACAAGATTTAGCATATGAAAAAAAAACCATACTCTGCCATAGATTTATAGTTTTTTCTAACTTCAGTGCTTAATTTACTTTAACTTGTTGCATAACTTTGATTTAATAATTTATTAAAATCTTCAAAAGTGAGAATGTTTATCATGGGCTTGGGGTAATGGTAACAGTCTAAGACCAAAGTATTGGATTTTCATTGCACTTTGCTGTTTTTTCTTCTTTTACGCTGCAATTTTTTGCTTTTAAGTATTTTGTTAAATAAATAGTGTTTTGTTAAATAAAAGTCTGTCCTTATATGGAATACTGTTGCCATATCTGGGGAAAGGAGTGGTGGATCTTAAAATGATATTCTTTCCTTTCAGACAAGGTACAAAAACACAATGTAAACATAGTTGAACCTGGTCTTGCAAACCTCTAACCATTATCACATGTAACGTTGCTTCTTTTTCTCAATTCTACAAATACTCATGCTATTCCTCATTCCATTAAGTCTTATCCTTTTTCTGTGACTGCTCCTAAGTGCTCCAAAAACTCTTATTCATCTAGTTTTTTTCTTTGAACATCAGTTCTTTGGAATTCACCTGCTTCAGTTTCTATTTTGATTCATATAATTTCTAATCTTTAAAGTCATATGTCAATCATTATCTTGCTTTATAAACTTCATCTTATTCCAGTAACTTCCAACTCTATTAGTGATTGATTGCTGCTTTGTTGGAAGCAAAGATATTGAAAAAAAAGTGTCCTTTCTATTTAACCGAATTCTTTTTGGCAACAGATGTTATTAAACAGATAACCAGCAATTACCTAATTTAAAACCTGTTTAAAAATAAGTAATTTACATAAAATGAGCTTTTTTTGTGTGTGCTTTTTACCTTTCCAAGGCTATAAAGGCTGCTACAGTTAAAGAGGCAACTTTTAGTTGTGGTTAAAACCCTCTCTCAATAACTCCTAAACACAAACTTTGACAAACAAGGCCTCTGTGCCAAGAAACGAATTGAATGTAGTACTACTTTGGACTTGAGTAGCTTTACCACTACACCACTTCTGAAACTTAATAAACTAATAATAGGTTTATTTATAGATGTTAGTATTAGTATTATACCCCTTTTACTTTAAGTATAATATAAACTTATGTTACCAGGAAAAATATATTTACACAAAATAGAAATGACATGATAATAATAAAATACAAAAAACTATTTAATGGTGTGACCAAAGAACAAAGTTATCCTTACCTTAATTGCGATGAATTCAATTTTATTACCTAAACTGTTGGCTAATGATTAATAAAGTAAATTTCAATTCATGAAAATTTACTAAATTAAAACCATATTTCAACAGTAGTCAAATTAAACATAAAAAATGAAGTAGAGCAGAACCTTGTCGTCGAACTAAAACAAATAGACAAAAAAAATTTATTAAATAAAGAAATACTTTTCAATTTGCACAAAACAAATAATTTTTTAAATGAAAATATAAAAAAATCAATACTAGTTTTTGTAGAACATAGGAAATAGCAAACATAGAACTTAAAAACATACCAGAAAATTAATATGCGTTAATTTGGAAAAAAATCAAATACTAATATAACATCACAATATCTTTAAATGAGGCTAAAATAATATTGATATGTTGGACTAATAACTTTACTAATAACACTTTTATTCTATGTTCCTATAGGAAAACAAAAGTCCTACAAGTTAAATATCAAAAGCTTTAAAAATTTCCAATTACTGTAAAATATAAAAATAAATTATATCATTCAATACCAGATTCAAACATTTTGAATTGCATGATTTACTTAGGGGGGCGTGATGATTCAGACATACTTGTAAATCATTTTTACATAATTTTATAAGTTATTGATATATTTTACATAATTTTATTACTTATTGATATACTAGTTGCATAATTCCAATTACTATCACTTCATGCCATTATGTCACCGTCTTACTTTAAACGATTTACTAAAGAAAAGTATTAATTTTGAAACTTAAGGATGTATTTTTTTAAAGTATATTTAATTAAATATATAACTAAAAGTTTATAGTTGTTCACTATTTATTGCACTCAATAAATAGTTAAATTGCATCACTCAAATTGCATCATTAAATGATTAGCTAGGAAAAAGGAAATCATTCAGAGGCAAGTTTAGTAATTTTCTCAGGGGGAGGGTATAACTCAGACAGATATTTGTAAATTAATTTTACATAATTCAATTATTAATTGTATAACTAATTTATTCAGTTTAAACAGAAATTATACAACTATCAACTAAATATTAAATATTTTATAGTTGTAGAATTTTAATCATTATACTGTAATAAAGATTAGACTGTCTTACATTGAGCGATTTATAAAGGATAGGTATTAATTCAGAGAGATATAATTTATATCTGTCTGAATTTTACTTTTACATATACTGTTAACAGTATAACATGTTATATAATAAAAGTATATGTAAAACAGTTTCATGCAAATAAATAACTAATTAGTATATAGTTGTTTATTTTCTATCATTACGACACTTTCTTATATCGTCGTTCTTATATTACTTTTATGTAAACTTTATTTCTAAAATTCTTGTCATCTAAACGTTTTTTTCTCTTTGTTTATGTTTACCAAGGTAGTACGGACGTTTAGGTACACTTCTAACAGCAATCTCGCTTTGAGTTTTTCATAGGGGGATGGAATAATTCAGGCGGTGGGAATAATCTACTACATAACTCAATTGAGTTAACAATTAATTCAAAAGCAACAGTTTTACTGAAGTTTTAGAATTTAACGTTAAGAATTTAAAAAAGATTTTTTAATTTATCTTAATAATTTAGTTTTAAAAATTATTATTACTTATACTTTTATTAAATAAAATAACTTACTAGTTGTTACAGAGTCCAACAAAACTTCATTAATTTTTTCCATTTTATTATTTAATAATAAAAATCCGAATATACATTCTCGCAATAACAATTGTTTTGTGAATGCCCCCCCTAGCTGCCGCCGTAATTTGCTATAACCGAAAAAAATCAGAAAAACAGAAACTAGGTACCATAAGTGTTACACTTAGTAAACTGCCTGCTCTCTTTTTTTTTTCGTTTAAATTTGACATTTACATAGAAAATGCATGTAGAAAAAAGTTTAAATAATAAATAGAGCAGGATCAACATTCCTTCTACTACGAATTCAAGTGAAAACATTGTCAAAATTTTTATGCAAAATTTGAAGCAAAATAACCCATAAAGAAGTTTAGTAACCATACATAAAAGTTATATAGAAATCACGCATAACATTTCTTCTTTCAAAAACAAACCTTTATTTTCATATTTTTTTTAAAAAGAAATACCACAAAAGTACGTTTTACTAAGACTACCGGAAAAATGCAGTATGCGTAGTAGAACCCTTTGAAACCTATCTGCTCCCTTTTTTTTTTCGTTGAAATTTGATATGTGCATAGAAATTGCATGCAGAGATTTGTTTGAATAATAAATAGACCGGGATCAATATTCCTTCGACTACATATTTATGTGAGAACATCAACCTATTTTTCAGAACCCAAATAATCCATAAAAAAATTCAGTAACCATACATAAAAGTTATATAAAAATCAAGATTAATCTTTCTTCATTCAAAAAAGTATCTATCTGTATATATATATTTCTAAAAAAAAACTTAACAAAAATACGTTTGCCTAATGCTACCTAAAAAAAAGTTAAAAAAACGAGCCACAAAATTTTAGCACAATCGTTTCCGTAAATCGTGATTTTCGCGTACCTAATATTAAAAGAGATTTGCTTTCTACTAATACAATTTATTTGACTTTAGAAAAATATATTGCTGGTTTAATACAGTTTTATTGATGTTATTCCATTTATGAAAAACTTGGGTGCTAAGTTTAAATACAACAAACAACATTTGGTCCAAATACTACATTCATCACGAGTTTAATAAATAAGTTGCAGCATTAATTTTTACAAAACCAAAATTAAAAAAAAGTTGCTATATAAAAAATCTAAGATCCGCAGCCATTTTAAAAACTCTGAAATTTCTTATGAACTTTTTAAACATGTAGCAAAGATCCTTTTGAACTTTTTGAACATGTAGCTAAGATTCGCAGCCATTTTAAAATCTCTAAAATTTCTTATGAACTTTTTGAACATGCGCTCATTAACATAACGCTTGTAATTGACTGTAGGTTTTTAAGATTTTGGGGCCCTAATGATAGTTTGAGGGGGAGGGATAGGCGGAAGGGGCAGAGTCTTTAGCCACACAAAAACTCTTTGATCTGTCGCTCGGCAGTTTATTCATTTTTATTAAATTCATTTATTTTAAAGAAGTGCACAACTTTGGAGCAATTCAAACCAAATCGCTCTTATGCATGCTTGCACCTTACATTTATATTATTCTGCTATTACGTCGCCCATAAAAAAGATTCACTTTTATGCTGTTTAGATTTATGCAGATTTGCAGATATGAATATTGCATTTATTAAAGGCAGATTCTATAAAATTCTTGAAGTATACGA